AGACCTACATTTTCAACACATGAACAAATATACTACTGTATTGCTTGCTTTGACTGGCCTTGACTAAGACGATACTGTGACTCAGAAAATGTTCTATAGAACTGTTCCGGTCAGAGAACTGGTCTCAGAGTGCAAAACACGTTGAACTTTGAGTTTGCATATGTAAGCCAACAACAAGTTCAACTAATGTCATCAAAGAACAGAAATTCTAAGCTGCGATGCCCTCCTGTTCCACCAAACAGGACAGCTGAGAGCTGGAGAAATGTAGTCTGCTCCAAAGAATCTCTGTTTCTTCCCAGGCTGCAGATGGTGGGTCTAGGAATTGGTGTGAATCCACAGACCCAAGCAGCACTCCAAACAGCAGACTGCTGGTGGTGGCGTAATGTTGGAAATGCTTTTTCAACACTTCAACAGGCCCTTTAGGGCCAATGAGTTTTGCTTTAAATGCAACCATGTGTATCCCTTTATGGTCCCATTTTACCATCCACTAACAGCTACTTCCAGCATGTTTATCTACTGTGCCCAGAAGCGAAAGTTGTCATATATTAGTTTCATGAACACAGCAGAAAGTTCAGTGTACTCCAGGGACCTCTCCGAGTAAGGGTGGGATGTGACAGCACAGAGGACATCAAAAGCATCAGGATCTCAAAAGAATATGTCTAGGCACTTAGAAACCTGTTTATGCAGAGATACACCTCCTATTTAATTAATTGTGTATATACTGAATTAATTTGAATAATAAATCACCGATCAATACAGAAACGTTTTTAAATATTCTTTTTTTAACCTTGTCGTGTTCATCATTAGGTCAGCAGAATTTAAATCTGAGTACCCTGCTATGCACATTCGCTTTGCCAAGGGAGGCTTTATTAGTGAAAAGCCCCCCCTTGATTATCCAACGCTGCTTTATTTATTTATTTTTGTTTCAAAAACATAAAATGTATCCCATAATACTGAACCTGACAGTGGGACAGTTAAGAAAGAAGTGCAAAGGACAGCAAACCTGAAAAGGAGAAAGAGCCGTTTACGCTGAGAGAGAGAGAGAGTAACTGACTTTGTGTGCGTGTGAGTGAAAACGCGCAGCCCAGATTTCCCATATTGTGCTCAGTTATGCGTGCAGAGGGGCCGCCAGCCACAGCCCACCCTCCAGCGCTCCGTAGCAGGCAGAGAGTGCCCCTAGACCCAGTCCACCAGCAGCCACCCTGAGCGCAGATCACAGGAAGATGACCATAGCGACAACTGGGCATCAGCCCAGAAGGCAACCAGGGAAACCCCCAAGAAAAGCCCCCAAGGCTGTAGGGCAGAGCCCCCCCAAGAACCATGAGCGACAGCGCACCAGCCCCCATTGTTTAGTTTTTTTTAATAAAAACTTCTGTACTGAAACAGAATTTTTCCCCTGATGAAGTACTGTATTTTTGATCAATCGGAGTGCCAGACAAGAAAGAGTTGAAATGCATTTAAAAAATAATAGCAAATAACTACCAAGAAAACTGCAAAGTGTTTGCAATGGATAGTTAGTGTCTGACATGCTCAGTTTATTTTTTCTTCTGCCAAAAGAATTCAGACATTGATTGGATTATGAATTGCAGTCAGACAGTTATGAAACACCTCATATAACAACGTGAATGGAAGTTTATTGTCATGTGCACAGTAAGGTGTTTCCCTGAACGAGGAAATTGTTTCACAAATAAATTGAATCCATGTCCCTTATTCATGGCTGTTGCAAAGACGAGCTGAATACCTAACAACAAAATTTAGAAAGCTGACTTCTATATCTTACTGTATTATTTGAATTTGTGACCAATGTGATGGAGAATGCCATTCAGCTGTGACAGCTTTGTTAATATAGTCTCGTGGCTTTATCAATTATAGTGAAATCCAGTGGGTTTGGCATCAATATCCAGAACTTTGCTAAAGATAGTATTAGAAATAGGTATTTTGGAGTGCGGGAAAGTAGTTCAACCAAAGGAATTATCCATCCATCCGCTTATTCTCAAATGGGGGACTGGAGCCTATCCCAGTGGTCAACGGCGAGAGGCAGGGTACACCCTGGACGGTCCCAAGAAATTCTCAATCCAAATGACTGTGACTTGTAAGATAATGAGTCAATACTGAAAGTGTCTCATGAAACACAAACAATGTTGAGAGTTAGAGATATGAGAGATATGAGTGAGAGATATGATGCAAAAGTATTTCAAAAGCAAATAAAATGAAGACAAAGGGGATGATTTTCGACAAATAAAAACAGGTTGTCATCCTGTAATTTGGCTCTATTCACTTGCATGAGGAAGACAGTAATGGCAGAAGAATAAACGCAAATACATTGGTTGAGATGTACAAAACCGTGTTCAAATAGTTATGGAAATTTAAAAAGAAAATGTCCTTTCTTTTCTTAAATGTGCAATGCAGTGAGGAAATCATCTTGTTTTCTCTCACTGGTACATTATGTGTTTTCAAAAGGAAAGAATTTTGAAGCAGCATTTTAAACTGCAGTGATTGAAATTGTCCTGAAAACAATATAGATGAATACCTCAAGCATTCAGTTCCTGTATAAAGAAAATACACACTTTTTCTTGTGTTCCCTTCTTTTTTCTAACCCCCAGCCCATGATTGAACAATGCAGCCCCCTCATATCTGGGCTTGGGCATCACTACAGCATGGCATCTCTCTGCAGCAAGCAGAGGGGGAGATTACTCCATGCTCACATCAAAGGAGGTTTGTCTAACTTGGGCCTGGTGTTGCTGGTGGAGCGGGTCCTTGGAGCAGCCCCGTCGTTCTTATCTCTCCCCCACAGACTCTCGCTGCTTTCTGCTGCAACACAACTGGCTTCCAGTAACACTGACACATGAATGCACGGCTCTGTACGGTCAAATGTGCACACAGACAAACAACAACAGCCTCTTGTATTAAAATACACATTCACAAGACACACAACACCGAGGAAGCCTTTTTTTCTCCTGATATTAGTAGAATTTGTTCTGCTGAGAGAGTCTGTGTCTGCCTCTTTCAGCCTCAGATGAGAGTTCAACCTGGTTCAGTGAATATTTTAAATGGATTAAATGATTATCTCGGGACAGATGCTTGAGAAAGAAAGTCTCAACATGTGAATATGGTGTTCAATATTTTAACCTGTCACTGTGTACTAAATGGAAAACTCTATCAAAGAGAGAATACGCCACATGTAAGAACTTAACAATAAGGATTGTATTGTTATTTATAGAAGATAAATATGATAAATGAATGGCAACATTTTGCAGCAAAACATTGGGTTGAAAAACACACCTTACAATGTTAGAATTGGTAACGTTGATTAATTTGATCATTATATGTTTACATACAAAAATAATTAGTTTGTTGTAGAATGCTTTGCAACAACCGGTCATTTTTTGTAGCCACCCAAAGAGTTTTTTATCTAATGGCTATCCATTAAGGCTCCAATAAAGTTCCTGGAGTCCATTCTGCAGTGGTGGATTCATTGAGATTTAGATCCGAGTTCATCATTGGTTCAGGTTTTTGTCCTGCTGAACAGGGGAAAAAAAGAAAAGCTCTTTACACTTGACAGCACATAGCTTATTGCTCTGAAATGCCTCACTAATCTTTTGTTGTCGTTTCTCTTTAAATCCATTTTATTCCGAATGTTCCAGAGAAAGTTAAACAACATAGTATGATGAAACCCCCTTTATGCTTTCATCCTAGTGTTCTTTTTTTGGTGTGGCCTCATTTTGCTACCAGTAAAATGTAAAATTAGACTTGAATTGTTCTAAAGCAGTGCGATCTTAGTGTTAGATTCTGAAGCAGAGTTTATAAGGTATGGTCTGGGACTGAAATGCCAAAATCCTTGTTAAAAAAGACAAAAGTCAAAGTTCAGCTTGACACTTTTTCGACATTTTATGCAACATTATCTAAACTGATTTTATTTAAAGTGACTCAAACGTCATAGCATTCATAGTTTTACGTTTGTTAACATAAATACATATTGCTGTGTTTTAAATGGCACTGACTCCAGGATAACACATTGTTTGAATGCACAAGGGCTCAGATTTAAATGTTGTAAACAATGTGTAGATGCCTGAGCAGCAGGAATAACCCCGCTCTTTGTTAGAAAAAGCTCATATAAGAAGCAAAGGTAATTACTTCACTTCCCATGATGTACACATTAGAAACATGATACAAATATTTGTGTACCTTAGAGAAAGGCAGACAGACTAAATGTACGTGTGTGTATCACAGTTTGCACCAAGCTGCAGTTACCAACAATGAGCAATCTAGTTATGAACAGTGGGTCCAATGTAGCTTCTCCAAAAGTGTGAACCCCACCCACAGCAGATAGCCTGGTTTATTTTTACTATTTTGACAATAACTATCACAAAATATCACAAAAACAATGTTGACCGTGCAGCTTGTTTAGAATAGATTAATCTCTGTTCATCTTTGTACACAACTGTACAAGAAGCCAAAATAATTATCATTTTTCATTTCGTGCAATACAGTCAATTTAGTCAAATTAAGGTTTGCTGGGGTATTTGGTAAAATTAAGATAAAAACATGGACTTAAGAGTTACACAGATTTAAGACAAAAGCAACAGCAATGCTGACATAATTAACTGGATATTGGTAAATAATTAATCCAGTTCTGCTAACAACTCAACAGCTTTTGTTCATGTGCAGCACACCAGACACACAGTGATCCCTACTGGTCAAAAGGCTGTATTACAGTTTGAATCTCTCAAATTTAATGAGGCATTTTATGCATCCATTTGATTAAGATAAATACAGTACAGAATAAATAAATCTTGATATCCTACGATGACAATTAAACAACCCTAAATCTAAGTATGTAGTATGACTGAGTATGACAAACAGTATTGACATGCACTCTTTTGTGTTCTTGGACCTCTGCCACGTTCATTCAAAAATATCCATCCTCTGCCATCGAATAAACTTTGTCCTTGGCTCCATTTCATCATCGCAGTCCTGTTTTGATTCCAAAAGTCACTGCCTGGACTCAAGGTAAACACAAGGGAACAAACTTCACTTTGAAAGGGGCTCTACCAGTTAGCTCTTGTCCAAACCTTTGCCATCATGGCTATCTACAGCTTTTTATTCCTATTCCTGCTCACATTCCATGTGTTTGGAGAGGGTTTTGTACTTATGCCCATTGAACTCGCTCCTATCCCATGTAATGACAAAGCAGTGGAGAAGCTCTCTCGTCTGGCTGTGACTTACATCAATGAGGATCGCACCGAAGGCTACAAATTTGCTCTTAACCGTATTACAAACGTCTACCTGCATGCTCAGGTCAGTAACGAGACGCATCTTTGGTGGGAGGGCATTTTCTTGATTCTTAGTGTGAATACATTGTGATGAATCTGAACTCAAGTACTTATAGTTGTGTCTGGATCCATGTTTAGAGGACAAGTGGATTACATGTAGCTATGGAAAATATAGTCAATACATACATGTGCTACATCTGAGGGTTAATAATAACAACAGTAAACACTTTTTATGCAGTTTTGTTGTAACTTACTGCCACTAGCACGTGCCACTTTTAATGGAAGTGGCATTAAAATCAAAGCGCATGATTTTATGTCCTGAAATAAGAACCTATCCCTTTTCACGCCTCGTGAAATAAGTTCTTTGGGACTGCAGAGACTGTTAATAAAGCACAGGTCATTCCAGTGCCATGCTGCTCAGACAAACCTATTTAATGAGCTTCATGAGGTGGTCCACTGAAGGCTACGGTGGTCTGGCTGTAAGATAGATCACACTTTAAATAGATTAAATAAGCTTCTTGACCTGAAGGCTTGGCATGTGTTATGCCACAGATCGATACTGTTCAAAGTGTTATATGGAATCACGCAAAGAGCTGCTCAATTCGGTTTCATTATGTACCTGAATTACACACGGCTGGATACTTCTCACAACATTAACCTCACACATCGAGCAGCACTCATCCAGTGTGTAAACTTTGTTCACAAATATACGGATATGAGGATCGTATCCGTAAAACATCACAGTTTTTTATGTCTTCTTAACCTGTGAATGCCAGGGCCCTGCGGGCAACGTGTACTACCTGGACCTGGATGTCCTAGAGACCAAGTGTCACACAGGCAGCCCAAAACCATGGAAACGCTGTGACATCAGACCATTCATGGAAACAGTAGGACGTACACAACAGACACAACAATATACTGATAAGAGTTTGTTTGATTAGAAAGTGTGGCTTGCATCATAAAAAGGAAAAAATGGGTGAAAATAGCGTTTGATTTTATATGTATAGTCATTTTTAATTGACTTGGTTGTCTCTGTTTTACAGATTTTGAGTTTTGAGAGAAGCACAACAAAAAAATCTTCATTTTGTTTTCTTTTTTCTTTTGAAGTAATCTTTTTGTTGTAGCTTTAATTCGTGGCCTTCTATAAGCTTTACAATATTTGACCCTTTGCGGGAGCAGAGATTTTGAAATGTTGATTCTAAAAGCATTCAGATTAAAACAGATCTATAACAAACAAGCCCAAATATGCCCTCACATGGTTGATTTTGGTCCTCTCATCTGCAGGAAATATCACTTAAGTCTCCTGTACTAATGAGTCTCGTTCTAGAAAGTCTCATTGTTATTGTCCATCTGTTAAGATGATCATAAATTAAAAGTATCACAACCTTGGCAAGTCTAGTCTTTTCTTGGCCTGTCTTTGAAACCTAAAAATGATTGGGTAAAAAAGAAAAACAATTAAGAATGAAAGGCAGTCAGACAAAAAAGCCCTCTCGGGTAGAGGAGTTAACTACATTTTTTCTTGTACCTGTGAGCATTGAATATTACAAATCCTTTGTAGAGAATTCATTTGGATTGTACCAACTGGAAGGTATTTGTATTCTACCACTTACAGCAAATATCTGGCAACTGTAACACCACCATTCTGCACACCCCAGAGGGATACTCCTACCTGTACAGCTATGACTGTGCTCTAGTGCCTGGTAAAATCAATCAAATTTCACGTAACACTTTGATATATTTCAAGAGCCTCTCCTGATTAAATTTTGATTATTATATTTACAATTGCTTAATTCACAAATTTCAATAAGAAATATTATTGAATATGTATTTGTTGTTGTCGTTATATTAAAAAAACATTGTAATAATAATAATTATTATGTAATCATTTGCAGAGGTTCCAAACCCAAATATATTTAATCATATTTAAGACAGAAAAATAATCATTTGACTGAATTAAATGGCTCTTAGGGGTTCTTGAGCACCAGTCTGTGTTAAATGTCATTTAAATCTACCAGATTAACAAATCCTCTTCTGGTTCTTGCAGATCATCCAGAAAAACTCCAACAGACCTGTCCGACCTGCCCGCTCCTGCTTCTCGTAGACAGCCCTGAAGCTGTAAACGCTGCTCAGATAACTCTGGCATCCTACAAGAGGCAGTCCACTCTGGGAGCCGGTCTTGGAGTGAAAAGGATTACTCGAGCTGCAGAGCAGGTTTAATACAAACAGTTTTGTGGGGCATATTAAGGCCAATGTTTGACAAATGAAAACCATTTCCGCTCCTAAATAACCACAGTGTGAAGAAAGATTTCTGAGGATAAGTTTGGCTTTATTTTATTACCTGGTTGACTTTTGATAAATATGAAAATACATGACATAAATAAATGCTTCTATTTTTGGAACTAAAAAAACTACAGTTGTTGATGTGTTTGTTGATATATACACAAATGTATGTCTGTGTAAATTAACATTTAATCTATGATGTTAAAGGAAGTGCCAGTTAAAACAGTCTTTGTGGAGTACACAGTCCAAGATTGTCCAGAGGGATTTACAGAGAGCGGCACCTGCCAGCACCTCAAAAGTGATACAGAGGTAAATGAACAGAAACTTACCAGATATCTTGCTCATATAGTTGTTGGTTTGTTTATTGTGTAGACATTTACCATTCAATTCCATGCATTATTATCAAGACTGCCTATTTCTGTGTAAAAATTTGCTTGATGCTCAAATTTAGTCTGAGATATTTTGCAGCAGTGACCTCATATTACCTCAGATATGTAGATAGATAAGTTAGGATGAATAATTTAGTTACCTGAGCTAGTGAATTTTCTTGTTTAAGATCAGAAAAAAGGCTATAGACCACACGACATTTATTTTGCAATGTGACTCTATCCAGCCAATTTTGTACCTTGCATGCAGTTGATTTCATTACAGCTAGAGGTCACATGTTCTCCAGAGGCAATAATTTGATTTCAGGCTACATGTACCAGTTCCCAATGGGAAAAAAAATTATGACAGCCTTGTGATCCAGTGATCATCTTCTCCTCTCAGACTGCAGGTTTCTGTACAGGATCTGTGCAGGGAGAGATGAACAATCATCCTGATGTCCAGGTGTCCTGTGAAATGTTTAAAGTGAAGGTACAGATTTTCCTTTTTGTGTTAATGCAGAAAAAGTCACATTGAAATTAACATTTTACTGTTATAATTAAAAAAAAAAAGTTATATCTTGTCAGATGAATGCTCAAATTTGGATTATTAAATTTTGCATTTCAGCAAAAGATTTTTAAACATTCATAAACTATGTAAAATGAAAACAATTACATTCAACATCATTAATAAATCCGAGTATGATGTCAAGACTTCACAAAAAGGTGAAGTCTCACATCTCACGGCAGAAGTGTTAGTTGGATTAGATTTTATGTTTAATTTGTGTTTTGTTTGATCATTCAAAGCAAGCCTTACAGTGGAAATTTAACTCTCTGAATATCTGAAACCTGTTACATTTAATAGTTTTTATATGTTAATGCTTTTGTCATCAGGTGTGTGTTCTGCCTGTGTGTACTTTAATTTGTCTATGATTTTTAAAGAGATGTGCTTCTATGTGTAATTATGTTTTCTTCAGAGTTTGTTTAAGAGCTGTGCTGTGTAATGTGATATTGTGTGACGGAGATTGCCTTTCAGCTCGTCAAACTGAGCTTGTTACGGTATCATTTGGATGTTGTCTGTTTGTCAGCAGAATGTGGATGTGATCCAACCGGTGCAGCCACAGGGTCATGACCTCCCCCAAGAAACAGGAAGTGTTCTGGAGTCTTTCCCCACTGACCCGCCATTAACCACAGTTGGGCAGCCAGTACCATTTGAGACAACAGCTGCTACCCTTGTGCCCTCAGATTTCCCAGTTGTCGTTAACCCTCCTGCCACACTCTCGTCCTCTTCCAGCGAGTCGGCTGAAAGTCTAGTAAATCAGCAACAGCAACAAACCAGCACTTCTGACTCATCATCTGAAGAAATTGGTGGTCTTGTGGCTCTGCGTCCACCCTTTGACTTCCGCTACAAGAGGCGGGACCGTAGGAAAAGACAGGCCTTGATGGAGACCACACACCCCACACCTCACCACCCAGTGTTCCTGTCTGATTTCCCCAGCGGGCCCTCTCCCTTCCGATCCTGCCCGGGTCCTTCTCGATATGCCACAGTGTAGCTTATCTTGATCTGCAATGAAATCCATTTCTTCATGCATGATTTACCCAGAGAGACCCTGGACCAATAATTGGTTCTACTCTCGCTCACTGGAGGAAAATGATAATTTGTGCTAATGAGAGGAATTCTGTATTGTTAGCTGGCCCTGAAATTACCTCTCAAATGTACTGTAACAGTTGTCCCAAAGCAACTCAAACATGTATTTGCAAATGTCGTGAAACATATAAAAAAATCATAATAATGATGAGTCCACTGTGAGTTGTTTTCTTGCCCCCAGGACTAATTTAATCTTTTAAGAGTGCAACACTAAAAATTTATATGGTTACTAGGAACACTGATGGCTGTATTATTTTACTATTGATCTAGGCTTTTGAGTAGTTTTGAACAATAATGACGGGAGTGACGTGAATGCAACTGCAGAAGTTGTTGTTTGTTTTCATATGTTTGTGATTGACTATTGGTTAGAGTGCTTACATAAGTTAAATTAAGTATTAAATATGATATAACCTGGTTCCTTAACCATCCAGCATCAAAACCCCTCGATGGCCTGTGACTGAATGCTAACATTACCTGAAGTCACTGGAAGGTTCCATTGGCCAAGGTTATGAGGTTAATTGTAAAGTTAATTTATATGCTCAATTTAAATGGTCAAATTGATTCAATGACCTTTTAAGTTAGGGTTAGGGTTAGGGTTAATCAATTACCTTTAAAGTAATAAAGTAAATCTGGCTGAGGCAGAGCAAACCTCTAAGGTCAAGCCTCAACTATATCTTCATTTAAAGGACATTGGAACAAACAAGAAAGCCCCCTTTTGACATAAGAAAAATAACTATCCTCATCCTCATGCCTTGAAAGTATGTGTACAAGTCAGACTTATGATAATTATGCCACATCAAGACGAAAATGATCCGAAGTGATGAAATGGACTCTAAACTCTGTTGGGCAGAAATATTGGCAAAAGCAGACAATAAAATGTTTATCGTTCTTAAAAGAGAAGCGGTATAACAATTTCTCTCAAAGATCCTCTTTGGAGCATATTGTAGGGCTTCAGTTTGTTTAATATGCAAATGACTTAACCACGTCAATGGCTTCATTTTGTTTTTTCTATAAGACTATATACATTCTATATACATCTTTACTTATTTTAGTTATACAGTATTTTAGGTGACAAGTGTCCTTTTTAGGGAATACATTGAGAATCCATTCAGCACATTCTATTTCTTTCTTTTATAAAAAAAAATGCATCCTGTTTTTCACTACGGTTACATTAAGTGTAATATGATGGCAGGTGAGACCTGGTAATGTTATTTATAATCGTGGTAATTGCTGCTTAATTGAGACACTTCAATTCGTGTCGCGAAAAAACGTCACAAATGGAGATTCCCAAGGTTCCTTTATCTGCCAAAGACTGTAGTCAGTACGCCAAATAAGGGTGTGCGAAAATTCCCATGGCCCGTGAAGGCAGCAGCCGTTCAATCCTAATTGGAGTCAGATTTTCAGGGTGAGGAGGGGCCTCAACTTCTGTTTCCCGCAACAGCGTACATATCTTCCTCCCAGATGGGCGAGTAACGGCTCTGTAAACAAGTGAGGGGAAAGCTCTGTAGTTTTTGAGGATCTGACTCGAATGAACCCTTTTTTTGTTTTTTAAATTGAGACATGACCGAAGCTTATTCTCGTACTTCGCTTTGAGGTAAGTGAAACACTATCCTGAAGTTTGCGTTTTTTCGAAGTTTTAAATAGTATCGGTTTCTGTCAAAGGTTCGCTTGAAAAGTTTTCTGTGAAGTTTATGTAAGTGTGACTATGCCAGGAGACACGGATGTCTCCCACGTTGGTATCTGCTGTTGGATCAGACGGACAGCTTGTCATGGCACGTTTGTTCAAACTTGACTCGTTTCCAGGTTTTTAGGACATAATTTCCTAAAAACGTAAAGACGTAGCTACGGAGAAGACCACGTGATCTGGAAAAAACTTTGTTAGAAATGTTGTACTTATTTACCCTTCTCTGTGAACAATAATTACACAGCAAATGAAGGTTATGGTGTCGAACCCAACTTTTCCCACTCATACTGACTATGTTCCCTCATAGGGTTGGGTTCAAAGTCTTTTTCATAAGCTTTCTCGAAAGCAGAAAATGGTTATCACTTCTGAGAGCATCTTTTCGTTGAAAAGGGACTGATTGGACATATTCATATTTAAATGACTATGCTTCAGAAGGCCTTTTAAGCATGTCAGCATATGAACAGTTTTAGTTTTTGATTTGTTTTGTTATATTTAGAAAGTGCTTCCATAAATGTAATAGTTGTGTTTTAGAAATGTTTAGTTTTATTTCACCCAAACACACATACACCCCTTTAGTGTTATTGAAAAACTGAAGTAAACGCTTTGAAAGTTCAAGCAAAAGTGAAACAGAATATATTTAAGATGAACTGAGTTTTGTTTTGATGCTGCTCCACAAAGTTCCTGTTCAGAAGTGTGCCTAATTTTTTCCGAACTGTGTCTAGAAGCAGAAATGAAATAAAAAAAATCTTTAAGAATTATTCATGTGAACTGGATTGTACAATAGGAACAGTCAAATGGTTATTTGAATGGGACGACTTTGAACTTGATCGAAGTGTTGTTAGATATTATGACTGCTGCATCAGAACCAGCCAAGCCTTAAGAGCTTTTTTTTTCATTGTGTAGATCACAAAGAATGCCGCAGTCAGCGAAAAATGCAGGCATTCGGTTTAATGGGTGAAAACATTATTGTCAGAGTGAGGTCACTGCAAGCCAACAGGGAGGAAAATCTGTCTCGTTCAGGACAGTGCGATTGTGTGAGCAAACAAATGAGATCAAATCTGAAAGCTCACTGGTGATGTGATTCTTGGATTGCTTGATGGGAATGTGGGCTGAAACAGACCCGTTTAAACTCAAGCATCTGTTTTGACAGTGAGGGGAATTTTCTTGACACAATCCCTGCACAGTGTCGCCGGTAAATGTGTTATGAATGCAGTGGTGTACACAAAAATGTTGGCATTTGATTCCAGTCCACATCATTACACATTCACACAGCAGAGTGTCAGCATGTTGCAGAGCAACGAAAAGGGTCCTCATTAGTGTCAACAAAATGTTTTCTAGATTTCTCACGTCTTTACTACATATTACAACTTTTTGGATGTGACAAAAATAATAAGCGATGGACATAATTTGGGTTAAGCACTGCTGCCATAAAGCATTCCCATAGACATTTTATAATACCTTTTTTATTTATGGTGTTAGTTTCATGTCATAATGAATGTCAGCTGAGTGCTTTGTCTTTCGACAACAGCTCCAGTTTCCTGATAAGAGATGTGACACAGATAGTGTGACGGTGAATCTCTGCCTAGCAGTGTTCAGCCTGTTCTCGTGAATGCCGCCCATTGTTATGCAGAGATTCTCCCCAGCCTTCCTTTCTTTTTTAAATGTTTAACATTGAGCTTCGCAAGTGAGAGGACTTTTAATGAGGCTCGTCCTCCGGTCGTTTTCATCCAGGCTCTTTAAGGATTGCTGGGTGGATTGTCATGTATGGCCACAGTCCTCTTCAGATCGCACAGGACTGGGAGCATTTGCTTCACGTCCGTCAGAGGTAGGCTGTGTGTGGGAAGCGGGTGAAATGGTGCCCTGTGAGGCTGTGTCAAGATGAAGAGTGGAAATGTAAAATAAGCTTTTGTCCTAAATTATCTGAAGTGTGTTCACTAAAGTACATCAAGTACGTATATGCTTTTTCCCAAAATTATTTAGCCTCAGTCCTTTTACAGACTGTTCAAAATAAATCTGTCAAGACAAAAGTCAAGAGAAATGGTACTAAAATGCTATTAACTGATAATAACCAGGAGCATTGGGATATTATCTGGTAGTTTTCTAAACAGTTAAGAAAAACGGGCCAATTTTACATATAGTATGATTTCTTATGATTTGCGAACAGATATGTTACTGTTCTTGGTACATGTGGGCACTTTTCCAATATGATTTCTCCTCTTGTTTATACACTATACTATTACCTTGATTTTGGATTTGACCATAAGCAACAATGTGTTTTTCCATCCAAGGTTGTCTGTAGCAGTAACGTGACACCTTATTTGCTAACTGATGACTGATTCTGGGTAGACTACAGGAGGTCCTTAACAGCTCCGGTGTAAATAATTAATTGGCCTGAGGATAAGTGCCTGATAGCAGGGTAAGTTTGATGCTGAAAATACATGTTACAGTTTAATTTTTTCAAGTAGAGCTATTGAAAAGTACGCCATATTAGAAGCTGTTAAGAGTCATCTGGGTAGACCGTGGGATTTACGTGTGGAAATTTTTGACACAACAAGAAATGAATTGCATCACCCTGTTGTCATTTTCAAGAGAACATACAAGTCTTGTCAAGTCAGTGCATCATGAACCTGTTTTCCTCTGAATATATCCTGCTCTGCTTTCTTTCACATAACTGCAGGGAACTGTCACAAGATGAAAGATAACAGAGAAGTTTGACGGTCTAGTTCAAATGCCAAATTCCTTCAATAGTTAAAAATGGCAGGAAACTTCATGTATTCAAGCTTGTCTCACAGATGGGAAAGACAAATTACAGCAGGGGAGTTGGACTGGAGCTCAATCTGTGCAGTCCAGAGCTTTTACAGCAAGGAACTTTTGACAGAGTAATTTGACACACACAAAGGTTGGATTATTTGCAGCAAAGGCAGTGTTATTTAATGTATTACCTGGTTTACGGTCAGCTGGAGGTGTCACATGCTGCGTGAGTTCATACCAACTAATGGTGAGGCAACATATTGTTTCACCCCCCTACAGGGCACGTTAGCCCAGACCTGGTAATTAGTTCAGGCAAGTGGATTTATCAGGATTGTCAACAGTTGATTTACTTGAAGCTTTGGAATAGGGATTGTGATGTGTGGCGCGACTTAACTTCTGGCTCCCCATATCTAATGCACCAACGTGTCCCTGTGTGATTAGCGTAAGGAAATCTCCGTTATAGAATTTCCTCTCATTTAAATGTGTGTAATCATCCGGGTAAAGCAGTTATGACAAATTAATGATGAGATGATCTGCACCCTGCTGCATGAATCTTTCAGGAGTGTTGTGCAAATAGCCTTAGAGTTTGCTGGAGCCACTTAACATGGCTATAATTAACACTGAAGTCTGGACTAATTGGAAGTGACACACACCATCAGGTGACTTATGTATTCAGGCTACCAGTGGATTCTTGCTATAGAAATACAACAGTACTAAACATGGCCCACTGGCTGATGACTCTCACTTTGAATCATTTCTGCCTGGTAACAACATGGTGGTAATCCGTGGTCACCTGAACATGAGGTCTCGCATGCTGGCACTTGGCCGTTGAGGTCGATGTGAGTGCTGAGAGGATTAAGTCTTTTGTTTTGCTGTTACAACCTGTTAGTGTAGTGTGCATCGAAAGGACAGGAGATCCAAGAGAGATTTCCTTTATTGTGAACTGATTAGGACTAAGTGTGCGTGTGCGTTATGTGTATGTACACAAATGATGAGAAGATAACGGGTGTTATGCAGAAAGAGTGGAGCTTGCTCCAGAAATTGATCAAGAAGCTTGAAATGGCCGTCGTCTCAACGTGCCTGGAGTGCATGAAAATACGAAAAGGCAACAGGTATGTGCGCTTCTGTGTTGTCTGAGCTCAGTGTGAGAGGTTCTTTATGCTCTTTTCCCAGTAAGAAGCCTCTTACTGTGTACTGACCAGAATTTTTTGGGGAAAACTGTCGGTAATATATATTTATATATTCCAAGCATGAATAAACTTAAGTACTTTGCAATTTGTAGAGTTATGAAGCGCAAACCAAATGTCTTCTCTGGAGATTTTAAATTAAAAAGAAGGGTGCTGTTAGGATTGAAAACTGCTTTAAACCTGTTTGTGTTTTAGCAGTACATATTCTGTATGTACAGATGTAGAGATGTAGATTTAAATCTTACGTGTGGTCTGGAATGGGAATACTTTTTCAGTAGGTGGACAAAGGCTTACAGTAAATTCAGTAAATGCACTAGCCCTGCTGAGAGGGGCAGAGCTTAACCCCAGCCATGGCCAAGTAGCAGCAGTTTATTCAGGATTTAGCATACATGCTGGAAGAGACTTCAGTTTGTCTTTGAGCCCTGATTCTTAAAAGCTTGAGTTTCTTTTAGGGAAAAAGCTGGCTTCAAAGAGGGAACTCTGTGACATCATTTAGGATTCACCAAACCGCAACAATTCTACAGGGAAACAAAAGCAAGATCACCATTTTTTGTTTTGAATTTAGTTTATTAAAACAGAAAACGGTCAAAATCAACTTGTAGATTTAAGCCCCTGGATACAGAGAAATAGTGTTTATTCAGACGTGTATCAAGATGATAATAATAAGGATGAAACGTAGTAATAGTTTTTACTGGGCTCTGTTGAACACTCAATAATAACACATTGGATATATTCTAAGCATTTGAACCTCTACATGTTAGCATGTAAGACTTGTTTGACATGTATCATTCTTTATAAGGTTGGTGTTGGGTGCATAGGGCAGAGATGTTGGCAGTGTCAAACAAACACATAAACCCCCCAAATTCACAGAAAGAGGAGGAAAAGGTAAAACAATGGCACACGTTTTTTTTTTACCACATCTAAATTTAAGAGTTTTAGAATCTGCTGTGGTGGTAAAGCGAGTAAAAAGGTTTTGATTTGTGGTGCTGTGGTGCTGTTGTGCATTGCTGGATTTGTGATGAAGAAATCCTATGGATTCCCTTACCCTTTTCTTTCATGACATGCTCTCACAGCTCGTATTGTTTCTACTTTATGAGTGTTAATGTGTGTGTGTGTGTGTGTGTAGTTTTTTTTGGGGGGGGACCTGAAGATAAAGTGCGTCTTAGGTATTACTGCCAGTATCACAGTCATGCAAGATTTAACCACCAGATTTTCCAGGTGTGATGTGATGAAGAAAAAGTTTTAAGTGGTCTGACGCTGAGGACAGCAGCAGATTTAATTATCCTGAATACCAGTGAGGCATTCGTGGGGTCTGTGGAGATCAGAAGACCAAATGAAATGGGGGTGTTATGTGACTCAAGAATGAATTTTTTTTCAGAACTGCTAACCACCCGGTGTTACTAATGTAAACGTGTCGAACCTCTGTGTCTGTCGGGGGTCTTCCATTGGTACCCACTTGGTGCAACTAGGCTCGACTCTATTCAGTTTTATTACCTGGGGTTTCAAGCATGCTGAGAGGGGCGTGCGGCAGACTGCTGGGCTCTGATTGGGCATGGCGTCACGTGATGCGATGGTGTCGCCGTCACATGAACCCGGCCCATTTTAAAACCACGGCATAAAAAAATGTCCGATTTCATGTTTTCAGTTTTCATTAACGGTGTAAATGGCTGACATCACAGCAGCTGGTATGTCGTCACAACGACGGCACGGACCGGATCTTCTGTCAGGACATTATTTTAAACTGAACTGCGGCTGTGTAGGTACAATGATGAGAGAGGTTGTCATCTCCTGAACCAGTTTAAGTGACCCTGTGCAAGGTGCCAATCAGTTATTTCCACCAGATCCACCATATCCACCAGAATCTTAAAAACCTTAAATGCTCGGGCTAACGAATCTGCAACTGTGCTCCAACAGTGTCTGTGTGAGGAAGGAGTTACACCTGTGCATTCTGGGATTGCTTGAAATAGTAAAGTGAGTTAAAACATGAGCAAAGCTGTTGCCATTTGTTTGCTGTATTTTTCCTTTAAAGCAGCTCTGAGTGAAATGGAGAAGTTAGGCTCTCTGACAAACTGTGCACATTATCAGTAGACTATGAGTCATGTGATCATGAGCTGCATTCATTCTGACTGGTTTTTGTGGACATTATGAGTCCTCTTTGGTCCCAGAGTGATCTCTAGTATGGAGCCTTGGCTGTTAAAGGACATGGAAGGAGAAGAAGGAGGTTGTGAAATGTTGGACCACCGACACATCTGAGTTTATTTTGTGCTTGTGGTAAAACGTAAAGTCTGCATTTTCATTCCAGCGTAATTGCAGCATCTTTTCAGGGCTTGGAGCTCACGGCAGGCAGGGAATGCTATTTTGAATTTATAGTTCTTTAAAAGACTTTGGGCTTTTTTCCCTCCTTGTCATTTTCAGTTCCTCTATAAGTTGTTTGCCAGTCGTCTCGTGAGAGAACATCTCCCCTCTGCTTTATTTGAGGTGCCCACATAAGTATTTTTACTATTTTGTGTCACCGGAATGAATTCATTCGACTGTTTATGATAGATTATTCAGCATCTGCAGTCTAACCAGATTAGATCAGAGATTTAGTGAGATGGAAAGGTTGGGTGGCTGAGAAGGTGGCCAGAGGCCAAAGCCCACTACATGGAATTGAAGTCTCACTGTTTTCTTTCATTTTATACACCTCAGACTTCCAGCACAACTTCTTGATGATGTTGTGGTTTCTATATAAAACTGATTGGCTTCAGTCCTGTCGGCCTGAGATTTACAAATGACTCTTTAATTGTTCATTTTTCCATTGATGGGAAAAGGGCTGAGCACAAGGAAATGGTTGGTCCTTTTATGACATGATGTGAAAACAATAATGCAGTCCTGAGTGGTAAGGTAAGGAAGATGATGGGGCAGGAATAAGCCAAACTGTTCAATAGTGAGGGAAGAGGTTTATGAGATGAACGACTACCATGCTCACATGGAGACAGGCGGAACTCGGTATGCAGCATAGAGACTGATGACTAAAAGAGACAAAAACAGCTTCACCAATCTGCCTCTGTAAGTCAAAAGATGACTGCTTTACAGTCATGGGGAAAAAAAGAACTGATGATGCACACTGGCATGTTGGTGGGGATTGTTCCACAGCCCGTCGAGATGATTATGCAAAGATTAATGTTGCACAAGTTAACGAAAGAAATGGACATTTTTAAACACGTGGGGATCGAACAATGAAGTTTGTTCAATCATTGGCTTTGTGTAAACAATGAACAATAAATTACCCCCATTTTTCTTCAGAATGAAATGTGAGGATAGTTTTGTCATCCAGTTTAATCCAAAAGAAATATTTTGAGCGTTTACAAATGACTGATAGGAGATGAACGTGCCTTTTTTATTTTATTTGAATGTCATTTGTTTTTCTTTTTTTGTGGGTAAATGCCTCTGGCTTAGCAACATTCTATATTCTAAAAGCTGTTACCTCAACAAGGAACCTTTTGACTCCTGCTCACATAGTTCAGTATTTCAACATTTACTGTTGAGTTGACTGTTGCCTCTCACACAGGTTCTGTTTCCTTACAGGATGGAGTCATCATGTCTGGACTTGGCTCTGGAAGGTGAGCGTCTCTGTAAGGCAGGTGACTACCGCGCAGGTGTGTCCTTTTTCGAGTCCGCCTTACAGGTTGGAACAGAGGACCTCCAAATCCTCAGTGCCATCTATAGCCAGCTGGGAAATGCCTACTTTCACCTACAAGAGTATAATAAAGCTCTGGAGTACCATCGGCATGACCTCACACTCACCAGGTGATTACTAATTATTTTTTCTTTTCTTATTCAGACTTTATATGTAGTTTTTCCAGAATATTTTTTGTTTTTTAAATGCTTGCCCGTTGTAATTTTGTCTCCCTCTCCGTTTTTACACTTACTATATTTTGTGAGACCATGAGTTTTCTAGTGTTGAATATTGGCTATATTTTTTCCTCTCCTGCACACTCAGGACAATTGGAGATGAACTTGGTGAAGCTAAAGCCAGTGGGAACCTTGGGAACACTTTAAAACTTTTAGGACGGTATAATGAAGCTGTGGTTTGTTGCCAAAGACATCTGGATATCACGAGAGCCATTTGTGATAAGGTGGGACATTTTTGTGACATTTATTACACACACACACACTTTATTATTATGTTAGTATCTTAGAGAAAGATGCTAATTTTATTGAGTGTAAATAATTTTTCTAGGATTGGTTCGGCAAAGGTTAAGTTCAAAGTTGTATTTATTAAAGGCCCAGTTGATATTACTGGTTACTAGTTGATATTCAGCCATACCACATTACATGCATTGAAGCCTTTTAACATTTTGGTTTTGCATGACAACTGCATTGAATCTGTACACCACCTTCAGAATAGTTTTCCAGCCTCCATGCAAATGACCAAGTCTGATGTCAGTGTATTTTAAGTACATAATTACAGCTGTGGTCACTCTGGTTTCTGTGAAAATCTGCTGTGCATGCTGTAGGTTGGGCAGGCTCGAGCTCTGTATAATTTCGGAAACGTTTACCACGCCAAGGGTAAGAACATCTGCTGGAGTGGAACAGAGCCAGGAGAGTTTTCTGAGGAGGCCAGGATTGCCTTGAGGAATGCTGCTCAGTACTATGAGTAAGTTACCATTATAATATGTCCTGACATATTAAATGTTATTATATTAATCGGAAAGCTCTGCAGACCCATCCAGAGTGATTAATGTTGAATGACTATGGATGACTATGACTAAACGCTGTTCTTCTATGATGTCTGATATACTTTGTAACTTGTGTGATATTCCTCTTTGCACAATCAGCATCTAGGTGTTTATTACTAAATGTTAATTCCTAATAAAGATGCTACCATTCACATTAGATTCATTCTATTTTTATGGAAAAAATGTATGGAAATACAGAGGATAGTCTGAAGCCCGAGTAAATCACAAAAAAACTAAACTTATAAACTTGTTTGATTATAAATGGTCAATGCCTTTTCTTTAATTAATTTTTGTTGTTTATTTACATTTTTTACAAAGAGCAAACCTGAGCCTGGTAAAGGAGTTAGGCGACCGTGCAGCCCAAGGCCGTACTTACGGGAACCTTGGTAACACTTACTATCTCTTGGGTGACTTTCAGGCTGCAATAGCTGCACATGAAAAGGTAAGCAGTAAATTATTATCACATTAAAGATTACCTTTGGGGCTTTGATTTTTAAAAAAATGTATTTATTTTTTCAAGAACTGGGCAGTGCTAGTTTCATATACTGGTAAATTAGCTATTAAGAGATTAGTTTTTTAATTACATTTTTTTCTTAACCAGTGAAATGTAACCATGAAATGTGTTCTGTTAATCCTGGCCTCAATGGGAGTAATTTGCTCTTTATTATTTGTCCAGCGGCTTCTTGTTGCTAAAGAGTTTGGGGATAAGTCTGCTGAACGGAGGGCTCACTGCAATCTTGGCAACGCACACATTTTTCTCAGCCAGTTTGATGCGGCTGCAAGTCACTACAAGTGAGTAAATCTGATGTTCGTTGCCATTGTCTGCACTATACAAGTGTGTACAACAACATGCAATAAATGAAAGAGGAGAAATCAGATTACTCTACGTTAATTACACAAAAAAGATAAAGAGGTTTATTTGTAAGGCTACCGGTCCACTTATTTAGGACGTGTGCAGAATTCAATATGTATGGTATTACACGGATATATTTTTGCATAGGAAAATGTTTTCATACAAGCCTCTCCTTAATTCAGAAGAGCTTGAAAAATGGGAGCAAAGGGCAAAAGAAAAGAACAGATAACTATCATTCCCCCACACCCACCCAAGAAATTGTTTGACCTTCTTCCTCTGCTTCTCTTTTGCCCCTCAGGAGAACTCTGCAGCTGGCCAGGCTTTTGAAGGACAGAGCAGTTGAGGCTCAGGCCTGTTACAGTCTGGGCAACACCTACACACTTCTGCAGGACTATGAGAGAGCCATTGATTATCACCTCAAACATCTGGTCATTGCTCAGGACCTCAAAGACCGGTATACCATAAAGGCCATTTGTTTTCAGCTCTCCTGCTAAACTGTCTTTGAAGTGCATTTGGAGTGTGGGTGGCCTCAGGAAAAGTTGAATGGTGCTATTAATGCCAATTAGGCATCTATAACTCAAGCAAAGCTGAAAAGAAATAGTTTAAAACATTCCATTGTTATTGAAACACACTGAAAATGTATAATATTAAAAAAAGATTTAAATATTAATAGTAGAGTTTAGCATTTTGGCACAAAGTCTCCTGACTCAATAACTAAAGGCCTTCTCTGCACCATATGTTTTCAACATGGCAGTCCTTTCCCTAAAGTCACGGGGGGACAAGTATGGAAAATATATTTTTACAGTACAAGTATTTATTCACAAAATGATCAAATGTTTTTAAAACTTTGCAAAATACATTAGGCACTGATTAAACTAGTTTTACCTGGATTGATCCATCTACTTCTCTTGATTGCAGTGTCTTTTTCACATATTCAACTTGTCATTTTGATTAGCTGCACTTGGGTTAAGATCAGATTGTAATGATTGTAGCCTGTGATAGTTTTAGGGAAAATGCCCTACCCATTCTTGCCTGACAGCTGAAGTTGCTCTGCCTGTTTCACCCTGTGTCTCTCTGCAGAGTCGGTGAAGGTAGAGCCTACTGGAGCTTAGGAAATGCCCATACAGCCCTGGGAAATCATGAGCAGGCCATGTTCTTTGCTGAGAAACACCTGGAAATTGCCAAAGAGGTGACTGTTCATAGTCAAGCTCCTGTTAAAAAGTTTCCCTAACAGGTATTATTTAGCCACACCCCCATCTAGTGGCTATGCAGTGAACCAGAGAAGACAACTGAGTGTTGGAAGCCAGCTAAATGTGTTACAGAGCAAATGTTTATATCAACTCCTTTGTATTTTATTGTGTGCTCACTTTTATTCCTTATGATTATTATCATTGATGCAGACTGGAGACAAAAGCGGTGAGGTCACAGCTAGGATGAATTTGTCAGATCTGCGGCTGGTTGTTAGCCTGAAGTCAAACTCCAGCATTCATCATATCTTCCGCAACACCAACACAAACAGCCCTGTCACATCAGGCACTCATCCAGGCTACCTCAACCTACCGGGTAAGTAAATTCTGCTCTAAGAGGTTTCTCTTTGATTTTTAAACATATTAAAGAGTTTGATTTTGTGCTAAAAGTTGTGAGCAGCTGTTGATGATGACAGCAAATTTCCTTTGTTTTAACGTTTTTGTTAAATCAGTGCAGCCCATTGGCGAAAGTGATATATTAATACAAAAAATATATTGTTGAACTTGAAAAAATAAAAGTACCTTTTTATTCTTGTTTCAGGAGTGAAGTCTTCATTAAGGAGGAGAGGTAGTGCAGACAATCTGGAAGTTAGTCCAAATCCTGATAAAAGCCAAAGTGGAGATTTATCTGCACATCTGGTATGTTACAGCTTACAAAATGTTTAAATCATTAAAAAATTATTGCATCAAGTGTGTTTATTTATAACAACGTTCTTTTTGTTATTTATAACAAGGTTCTTTTTTGTCAAATTTAATGTGCCATGTAATATTTTTCCCACAGCCTTTTGTAGTCCCCTTAAACATCACCGACTCTGAGCATTGTGACATTGAGCTCTCTAAGTAAACAGCTCACTGCACCCTCTGTTCTTACATGACATGATGACCTAACATAAATTATTATGGCACTACACCATTTCTGTGGAGAAGAGGTCATTTCCATGTATCAAGTCACTCGACAGGGATATAGTTCCGTTTATTTTCTTTCCTCTGTTTTGATGAGCTTTACATCATTACACATTGACACGATATCCTGATGCCCTTTTGGAAATCTAATGAAATGACTATACCATGAAATGGTATGAAAGTCAGACATCCTGTCATTACCAGTTATTTACTAACAGGAATTGGTAACAGTCGTGATGTGTAAAGTTAATATCTGGATGGAATCTGTATGTACAGGACTTGGAGGAGGATGTGTTTCCTGGATCATCAAAACACAACACAATCAAGGCGTCAACAAAACTGTTCTTTATCCAACGGCTTAAAAGTAAAAAGCACAAGAACTGCAAATCTTCCCTGAAGGAAGAAGAAGAAAACCTCTCTGAGCACACAGCTCCTGAGCAGGAAACCTCAGTGTCTCATAAGGTATTGGGAAGCTACGGTAGCAGATTACAACTTAAAACATATCAAACATCCTTGTTTGTTAACAATTATGGATCACCTCAATAGTTTGATAAGATTCCATTTATGCTGAGAAAAAAAAACTACTTCCAGATATTCTTTCTCATGCAATATGAAGATTGAGTAAGCACAAAATGCGACAGAGTATTCTCCTTAATCTCCTTTCTCAATAAGTATGAATTATTGAGAAATGATTAAATCCCACTGTTCATGTGATGTTCGATCATTTATCTCCACACAAAGTATTTCAAATGAACAAACAATCATCTGTTTAGCTCAACTTTCTTTCTCAACAAAAAATTGCCAGCTGAATTTCTTCCTTTTGTTAATAGTTCTTCTATGATCTGTTTTCTTTTGACACCATAGCTGAAACCACAGGACACTGTTGGGGAGGACAGCTTTTTCGACCTCCTCTCTCGTTTCCAGGGCAACAGAATGGACGACCAAAGGTGTACACTGGATACCCAGAGCCATGTCCCTTCCCATCCCTCTCCCTCCTCTAACTTACCTGTAGCTGAAGGAAAATGTGAGTCAGTCCCCTCTTTTGATGAGCGTTCACACCACATGTAATGGTGCTGTTTTCTAATCTGTCCTCCAGAAAGACCTTTAAAAAAGAGAGAGAAAAGGCCTTGCCACCACAGCCCCTACATGGTGTGAATGCAACATCAAATAATTTGTGCTGTGATTGTTTCTTGTTACTGGTGGTTTAACAGATGGCCTGAAGTAATAATCCACCCTGTATCTTTGAGTACGGAGGGACATTCATTGACCTGTTTAATCCATTAGTTAACACTTCTGTAATAACTATATATCCAAAGTGAAAACATTTATTGTATTCTTTAAAAGAAAGAATGTTACTAAAGCCAAATGATTTGGGGTGGAATGTTGCTGAAACATTCATAGTTACTTTGAATTGAAAATAGGATTTATCCTCCCTTTCCATTTTGTCTTTCAACAATCAAAACATACTGTAGGTGATTAAAAGACCTTCCCCCGATACTTCTCTTTTTCTAGCTACTTTAGATCCAGAAACTCCATCCCAGGATCCTGGTCATTTCCTGGAGCTGCTGGCCAGCTCCCAGGCCCGTCGTCTGAACGACCAGCGGGCCAGCCCCTGCCATTTTCCTGGCTTACGTCTCAACGCCTCCAACCCGCCTCATATACCCTCCACCTCCAGCACAGACCAAGCCCCCACACAAGGTGACAGAGTAGCGGCCGACCACATCTGTCACACTCAATAGGATCGCCACCCACATGTTGACAAGTACTTGTTTTTCTTCCCAGCCCTAATCTCCAGTGCAGACACACCTCCCACACCCTCCCTGTACAGTCACCTCGAGGCAAATGCTGACCAGCCCGAGGGGGATGATGTCTTCTTTGATATGCTAGTGAAGTGCCAGGTGAGAAGTCAAATTCCAGTGCGAGACATTCTGCTGAAGAGTGCAAGTACAAGTGTACAAGCTTAAGTACTTTTTCAGAGATTTAAATGTGTGACCAGCAAGAAAAATAAAAAAGTTTTGGAGTTCTAGATTTATGTTGCAAAATTTTTTTGAACTACTTAGATTGGTTGTAAGGTCTTAAATTCACTCAATTATTTAAGATTTGCTTGTATTTTTATTTGAACCATTATTGTGAGCTAAAATAGTTGTGTGGCCTGCACTATTTCAGGGTTCCAGACTGAACGACCAGAGGTGCGCTGCTCCATCTTCTACCAATCAGGGGCCGACTGTTCCGACCGAGGATTTTTTCAGTCTCATCATGCGTTCCCAATCCAACAGGATCGAGGAGCAGAGAGTCCAAGCACCTACTGGCATCACTCAGTCAAAACCAGGCTGACTTCAAGGAAAGCAAAATGTTTTGTCTCAGGATATTAAATGAAGTAGAATTTTTTTTAAAAAGTTTTTTTAAGTTTACATATTTTTAAAAACCCAAGTCCATTCCTCCATAATTGAGAGACACATGGTATTCAACAAGGAATCGGGATCTCACGTGATGCTGGCATTTTGATGACAGACTGTAGCGTGCCACATTTGCGAACGCGTTTTTAAATAGATGGCACTGATGCTATGCAGATGTCTTACTGGCCTGGAGGCCTGCATCAAGTCACGCGTACAAACTGTGGCGTTTGGTGGCTCATGTGGACCTCAGTCTGTTCGGTGTTCCATCACACTTAAAACGAATGGATAACTGTTTTACAATCATGGACAAAGTATTTCTTTCAAGCCCAAATTTGTGCAGAAAACTGGAACAGTGTATACTCTGCTCTGCACACTTGAAATTTAATTCAGTCTTTAGATTGGAACATTTTTATTTGCACAGATCTCAGATCTGTCCAGCAGTAACTTATCACAGGTGGCTCAAATGGCAAATCTCGTCTGGGGAAATAAAGAGCCATATCCACTCGTACTGTGAGTAGTGGAGCTATTAAAAGTGTCTGCTTTCAGATATTGCCTCTGCAGATTCAAAGTGGGAAATGTTACATGTCTTGTTTTATTGCTATGAACTGAAATAATATTTTTGTGAATTGTTACAAGATTCTGTAGAGAATTAACTCATGTTGTGGGAAAAAAAAGGGCAAAAAAAAACATTAAGCTTTTATACTTAATACATCTCCAGACAATGGAGAAATAAAAACTCATTTATTTAAAATGTCATATTATTTATTGAGTCATGACTTATTGTGGAACAATGCGATTTGACATTATCATAAAAGTGCCATTTACAATATGTGTTAAAAAAAAACAAATATACACAAGAAGCTTAAAAACTTATCAAGCCACTTCTCTCATAATATAAAGTGCACTGTGGTTAATAGGTTAAAGTTTAAAAAGTACAGCCTCTGCGTGTCTCCAAACTAAGCCAGAGCAGCTACGCCTCTGAGGTCAGCCTCTCTTGTTGCTCCCTGCATCTGAAATAAAAAATAATAAGGTTGATCCCATTTCCCATTTAAGCTGTTATGATGAGGGACATTTCATGTGTATTTAATTGGTTCCGATTAGTGGGGTACTACAGTTGGTGGTAACGCTGCGTAAAAAATAAAAAACTATATCTCATGATAATATCACTTCCTTATAGAATACTGACATTTTGGAGCTTTTGTTGAGAGGTAATCTGATTTTACCTGTTGATGCAGCAGCTAAAAATGCAGCCGTTGTTCTGGTCAAGTCTGTATACTCCAGAATTTGGCAGATCTTTACACACTGACAGGAACTTCTGCAGCTCGGAGGTCGGGACACCACTCTGCTGCTGTTGCTAAGTGACATAAAGACATACAGTGGTAGATTTTAAATTCATTGGTGATACAGATAACATCACAGACATAAACTAACCTCTGTTTATCATTACCTTGATTGTGTCATAGGTGTCAGTGATGAGGGTGATGAAAAGGCTGAGGATCATGTATATAAAGAGTGACACAAAGGTATAGAGGTAGACCCTGCTGAAAATCCACACCAGGCTGCTCTTCTGCTTCATGTTTTTGAAGGTGGGGAACATGTCGTCTCCGTTGATCAGTGAGAACAAGCACTCTGACACAGTGTTTAGGGTCCGGAACTTTAACAAAGACATCACATTCATTTAAGCTTGTTAACAGAAGCTAAACCTGAAAACACATTCAGCCCCGTTCTTAGTTAATCCTGTAAACCTTTCATTGTAATGTGCTTTTACCTTCTCATGATAAGGGCCAAGAACGATCCAGCCACAAAAACAGTAACTCAAGTAGATGATTCCAGCACAGCAGATGAAACGGATAACGTTTGGGAAAGCAGCCCTGAGTGTAAGGATGAGAATCTGGAGGTATCCAAGGAATATATATATTATATATTTAAGAATCAGCTCTGGACAAAAAGATTACACACATAGATATATTGTTTGAAGTGTACTGGTTCTTTGTTTCCCACACGTTAGCGCAATCCTGGTCAAACCAATTAAATCAGATGTTGTCGCCATGTGATGCCAAAGTACAGTCTTAAAAGTATAATTTTATGTTGTGTGTGCATACTGACAAAACATGGTTTTACTGTAAGACACGTGAGTCTTCATGTGGATATTTTACAGTGATAAAACCACATGAATAAAAGGTTTTCCTACAACATTTATATAGACCTTCTGTTATGTTGATTTATTTCTTCCCAGAAAACCAATGAAAAACTCAGAAATCCATAAATCTGAGAAGGACTTTGTGACACTGACTTTGTGACAACATTTAAACTTAAATTTCTGCAAGAATTTTAAATTCTTTTGCACTGCCTGAAACAAAACCTACCAATATCCCTTTGTTCTTGAAAAAAAAGATAAGAAAAAGAATGTGGTCTTACATTATACTTCCTAAAGTAGCCCATATAGCGGATGACGCCAATCCAGACAAACATTGTTCCCGTGCCAAGAAAGATGCTGCACACATCATAGCTTGTGAGGATCTATGAAACATGTTTCAGATTAATTTCAAACAGACCTCTGAATGCAACGTAGTTACATTTGTAGTTCAAAGAAACATCTTGACTGAAACATAAATCAATTTATGAAGAGGTTGTTTTTACCTTAGTCTGGATTGCCATCTTGAGGATGGAGCCTATGATGGTCAGTGTGTCACTGACAATAATCAGGATATACCAACCGCTCACAAACTCCAACTTCTCCTGCACTGGTACGTCTCTCCCACCGTTTTTACTGCAGTGCTGGTTGTACTCCTGGTTAAAATATAGTACTGATCATTTTTTAATAATCTCTGAAAAAAAAACTTTAGTATCATTTCAATCTGTACGTATTTTTAAGAGCTACAGTCAGCGTATTGAATAAATAAAAATAGGAATGCATTAAGTGTTAAGTGATAGACTGAGCAAAACTGCAAAAGATTTGCTTAGATCACGATATTAGTGGCTCACTGCCAGAAAGAGCGAGCATTGCACATAACCACAAGACAGGATAACATGACTCACAGCTAATCATATTAAACTTTAAAGCATGCAGGTAAAAAAAAAGTACAGACAAGGTTTTCCTCTTTAAAACCTAAAGCAAATAATGGCATATCAAATATATATTTAGCTGCTGTTACACTTATAAGTAAACAAATGTTTCACCATTCAATGAGTTTAAGTAGTAGTAGAAATACTTGTGCAGATTTTCCACCATTAAAATACACTAAAATACACCAGTCAGTTAATCTTACTCACAAACATCAGCCAAATTCCTTTGATCACTGAGCGCATACAGAGGATAAAGGAGACGATGCAGGTTATAACAATGAGGCAGTCGAACAACACGGTCAGATATATCTGTTTAGCAGCTGTGGACACAGAGAAAGTAAAAAGATTCTCACTTTCAGGCATGTTGAACATTAGTTTTAAAGACATGCAAGCAATCTTTGGTATGCTTTTAAACCAATTCTGCAAACCTACAGGCCCCAGTGACTTTCCAGTCTCTGCATTCATTGATGCCCACATCACTTTCCAGGTCTACCTTTATCCTGCCACTGTGAACTTGGTTGTTGAAAGTGATCTGTGAATCATAAAGTCATATTTGTATTAGAGGACAGAAAATAGTGCTAATAGTAGTCACATAAATGCACTAAACACTGGTTTCACATTTACTTTCTCCACTGCCTTTAAACTCTATTAGGGCTACAGTAACAGGTGTTTGGGGTTCTTTTTTATTCTTTGTTTTGCAATACAGGAATGAAGAAGAATTCAAAAGTGCATTTGTGAAGAAAACTAAATACAGACTATCTAGTATTTCAAGTGCTAATTAAATTAATTTGAGCTTAACAAATGTTTTACAAAGTTGGTTTGGGAGTCCTGGAGGGAAAACGGAACCTGCTTGTGCGAGTTCGAAAAGACAAAAAAACCTAGCCAAGTCACATTCACTCCTAAGGGCCATTTGGAATGTCCAATCAACCTAACCCGGAGTACCCGGAGAGAACCCACACAGACACAGGGAGAACATGCTAACTCCACACAGAAGGGTTCCAGTTCCCCACCAGGACTTGAACCATGAATCCTCTTGATGTGACTCGATGGGGCTAACACCACACCACCGTCCCGCCCGCATTTTGAACAGTTAAACTAAATTGTATAACAGCCACAAAAGTAATTCCAGACAGGTCAGATATGTCACTTCAATTTTAGTAACAGTTAGTCTCATGTGATCTATTTTTGTTTATTGCGTCCGGAGGGGAAATTCAGCCACATACAATGACAGTGAAGTCATAGCAGTCTGGCAGCTCTCGATGTCTCACAGTCTGTAAATTTATGGCCTTGAGAACAAATGAGATCTTGATGGATAGCAGCCTGGAAGAGAAGGCAAGATTATAAACTGAAATGGAATTTCAAACAACATAAAAGGATGTGGAAAAGTGCTGCTTTTACCCAAAGTATTGATATTTATGATGCCTACAAACCTTTTGAAATGCAACTCAAAGTGTTGACGTATGTCAGATGGTGATGGTGGATATGTGGGATAAACTTCGAGGCATTCTGTTAGACAAGCCACAGCACACCATGTTATTTAGGGGTCTTCATTCTTGTCACAGCTGTAAAGTAGAACTTGTGCCAGCAAAATAATAACTTCAAATTCCACAAAGTAAGCTTCTTCAGCATTAAAATAGGTTACACACTCTTCCCCTGACCGGAATTATCTACAGTTTCTATAAGAGTCTGAAGGAGTTCTCCCGAGAGTTGATCACAAACAGATGGACAGATGGATAATGGGGCCTTTCAGTGGAGTCTCTGTTCATGGGGTTTTTTAGGCTTGCAAGCAATTAATTCATCCTCTGTGTTCTTTTATTTCTCTTCTATGTGAGAGCCCACCACTTGACTGAGTGTTTCCTCTTACACTGCAGTATCTGAATAAGGCTTAAGAAAGACCTCAAAAAAGACAAGATAGATTCCACAAGTTTATTTTTTACCTAGACTGACTACATAAATGTACCAAATTACTTCATGGGAATGATTTGTTGCCATTCAACAGTTGAGTGTTATTTCTAAAATGCATTTCTTTGTCTCTGGCTAAAATAAAAAACAAGGGAAGTTTCTTTAACATACCCAGAATCTAACCCAGACGTCGGCACCACAGGCATGAGGAGGAACCACCCAACTTAAAATAATAATATATCTGCTTATACACTTTCCATGGAAGTGTCATGGTAAAAACTAATTCTGAAGTAAATGTGATTTAGCACAGTAAATGACATAAAAAATCCATCTCATCTGACCTCTTCCTAGCCTTTAACTGGAAATGTTGCTTACCAGTATCGACATGAGCATCTATCTCAAATGTTTCTGCTCCTGGGTGGATGGTACCGTTCCGGTAAAACTCTTGACACATGGACAGTGGAGTGTAGTTGCTACCATTTTTCTCATATGCATGATTGCCAACCGTATTGTTGTACAGCTGTCCATACTGTAAAGCGAACATTTGGAAACAGTTACAGCTCTCAACTTTGTCTGATATCACTGAAGTGTATATAAACAACTTAGAAATGTGAAGAGTGGTGAGCTGTTTATGACAGTTTCACATAGACATTATCATGGACAAGGACAAAGTCCAATCATATGACGAGGCATAACCAGTCAAGCTTTCTGGCCATGACAGTCTTAAGAATTATAAATCTTCAACAACAATTTAAAAAAGCAAAAGGAAGATCTATGGTGTAAGACAATAAAATAATTAACCAAAATTGCTAACATGGAGTTTTGGAAAAAATGTGCAATTCTATTACCTGTGTAACAATGTAATCAATGTGATCGTAGACATCTGCCTGTCTGTAAACTGCATACATGTCCATGCCACCATCAACATAATCTTTCAGGAAAAGATGCTTGAATGTCATCAGATTTTCCTCCTTGAATGTAACTACCATCTGATTGCTCAGTCCAAAAGACACCAACTGTGAAGAGAACAAAATGATTCATGAGGCTGGTGAAAAAGTGTAAGCATTCGAGTTCTGGTCATATCTGAGATGCTCAATACCTGGATCGTAATGATGGCAATTTTGACAATTTGCAGACTGAGTTTCCACGGTTTTCTTCCACGTGCGTGGTATTTCTCGCAGGGGTTCATAAAGAAGTATTTGATCCTTCTTCTGAGGCAATCGACCTCATCTAAATCATGCTGGTACTCTTCCCAAGCAGTGGGTTGGTTTGTGTCGTATACATCATAGAAGTCATTGGATTCCATTTCTAAAATGATTGCAAAAATGTGTGATTTCAATGCAAACGTAGTTACAAAGTGTTGTAATAATAAGACGTCTTTCAAAGATATGACGCTCTTGCATGGAATTTTATCATATTTATGTTTAATTTTCAACGTCTCTTAGTTAACTATTGGCAAAAAAGGAAAACCAGGAAATGACATGACTTATTGTCATTGTTAAAGCATGAAGAAGAAAAAAAAAACATGTCACAAGATCAGTGCGTCGTCCAAGAAGGTTACACTTTTACATTATTTATACATGTTTATTATTCAATAAGCCATAGGCTTATTTTTCGTTTCTTCATTATTAGTGCACACATAAATAACAGACAAATGAAGTGATTCAGAAGTTAAAGGAAATTATGTCAAGTGTACTTGGGCGGCATTCCATAAAAAAAAACAGCTCTTTACATTTAGAAACGTGACCTTTCTATGGCAAACTATGAATTATTCATTTGGTCTATTTTTTGTAAAGGAAAGGAACTGTATCTCCACCAAGACAATACGTAACAACTCTATTATAGGGAATCTACTCACCAAAACAGGTTAATCGACTTCTACTGCATTCAATCGCATTTACAACCACAATTCTAAGTTAAAAAGCCCTCGTCTCAGTTAATATAACGACAGACACGGCACTTGTTAAAGTGACAATGGAACTGATTAACCGTCGACCGAGCCTCCGAAACATTAGAAAACTTCTGTCAATAATGTCCCTCCGTGAAAGATACAGGTAAGTTTATAACCATTGTACGGGGCACGAAAACACTGAAATCTGATTGGTTCTTACGTCTGTCAGTCACCACACCAAAGTTGACTTCCTTTCCTTCTTGTAACCAATGGTAACCAAATAGTCCCAACGTTTAGCACCGTGCTCGTGGGATTAGCGAGCAGTTCGAGCTATCAGCGATTATTTTGTGGTAATGTTAATAATTATCTATGATTCATTTAGTTTTCAGTGTCATTTAATGGAGCTACATTAAAGCGTTTACTTTAAGTGCTTGCACGAGAACAATTAGGCTTCTTTGCTTGATTCTTTGAAAACTTCATATCTCACTGGTCATTTCCCGAAGAAAGTCCGTTGCTTTCTATTACATTTAGGATTAGTTTAAACTGTTTTAATATATTGCTAATGTTATATTGTAACATTAGCTAGTTAATAATAATGTTTATTTAAAATTTTAGAACAAAACTTAACATGTACTAAAAATTATGATTGTACGATAGCCTAGTTTACGCTATCTGATAGTATACAAATGGTTTATTCTATTATCTTGTACTTTTCCCTCGTAGAATAATCAAATTACTACACCTGCTTTATAATACATTTTAAAAAATTCCTAATGAAAAGACACTTTTAAGAGTGATTCAAGTTATATGTATGGCAGATGTAACTGATTGGATGCATTTACATATGATCCTATCATAAATCCATAATTATGGAAGTAAATCTGTTCCATCATATTTACTTCCATCCACAATGCTCATAATATTCCATACATAATTAATTATTTTGTTTTAGATTCTTCAAGAACATTTTACTGGTTCAGATTTTAAGGTGACAGATGAAACGCTGTATCCCCAGTAAAGTAACACAGAGGGAAATAAAAGCAGGAAGGCATGAGGTTTGACATACAGGCATTTGGTTGATTTTATTTTCTTTTGTCATGAGGTTTAGAGATTTGAAAAGATTTATAGAGAAAATTCTTACAAAATATGTTTTCTTTGTACAAGAGAAGAGGTAATAGTGCATATAAATCACTCAAAACTAATAAATATAAACAAAACAAAGAAGACTTAAAGGACATTTCTACTATCTTCCATAAGATGTCGCCGTATGCATTGACAATGCATCAGTGGGACATTGTGAATTTAAGCCACACAGACAGTGAATTATGGAGATAAAAAGTATAGTTAGTTTTTCTGTTTATCAGTGTATGTCTGTGTTTAGTTTATTTGTTTTTAATTTTTCCTTAAAAAATGTGCTTTGTCTTTTAGCTGAAATGGCACCTAAAAAAAATAAAAGGTCAACAAGCAGTGCAAGCAGTAAAGGGAAAGGTAAGAGTGTCTACTAACTGATATGAGCTTAATGTTTTTATAAATGCATCCATGCTGTTCTTTTTAGGATTTCTAATGTAATACTATGGGAGTCAAGCTATGAGCTGACTGCTTCTTCCAACTCAGGTCAGAAGTCTATGTTTTTTCTAGACTTTCAGACATTCCTTGGGGACTTACCCAGTCTTAAATCAACCTGAGCCCTTCACTTAACCCACACCACCTCTTAGCCCTAAAACTGAATGGTTAATCTTGTGGGGATACATTGTCTGTTCCTTAATTGGAAAAAGTAGTCCATATCATATGACTGACAACATGGTGATCATGTTGAAAATGCATGCGTGCAATGTGTGTGTTTTCCTCATGTGGAAGCTTACACATATGGGTAAAGTTTTTTAAATGCCAGTGTTATGGCTAAAATTTGGATTTTCCCCAAATATAAGCAGACATTAAAGCAAACATAGCTAAACCAGCAGTGTAGTATAATTTCATATAAATATTTCAGAGTACGCTGTCAAGCCTTGAGTAAATTAAGCAAGCTGAAAGAGGCACAAAAACTTTAAAATAACTTTCTGATGTATCTAACTAAAATATTTAAGTGCATTCTTGAGGGATATAGAACATTACACAGAGTGCTCTTTCTGTCTCTCAAGCAAATACTTCCCATGACTACAAATGCCATAGTAAATACATAACTTTGTGAAATGAAGGGTGTGAGTTTCTACTACAATGATATGGCAAAATGCCAAGCAGAAAAGGTTGACACACCCAGCTGGGAAGTGGTTACTTAAGCTGTACTTGAGCATTCCCAGCGTCCCCTCAACAACCTTGTGGAAAGACTTTGAAGAGACACACAACAAAGCGTGATGAAAACTATCATTATGTAGAGCTCTGTTTACTGTAGTGTTTCTTTGACTTTGCCCTGTGTACGATATAGCAAAGCATACATAGAGTAAGTGTAAGTGGTGGCTCAAAGGTGTGGTGTTGTAACAGTCCAGTATAAAGCAGCAACATTCCCCGAGAGGGTAATGGACATCTCGAGTAGCCTAGTCAAAGAATTGGCATTTCACCCTCTCATATTGTGTCATGATTCAGTTCAGTTCAGTTCAAGAGTTTATTTCAAACCTGCACACACATTTTAGAATACATATAGTGACAAACAATGATTCAACCAGTTAGGAAGTGTAGGTGAATGAGACATTGTTTTACCGATCATCTGAGATGTTGTATTTTGATTGCATTTAAACTTATCCGAACCTATGGTGTTGTACGTCTTTGATTTTATTTTCTCTTTGTTTCTCCCATCTATAAGGATTAGAAAAGGTCTCTCATGAAAGTCATCCCAATGACATATACCCCTTGGTCCTGACAACAGCCACACAAGAGCTGTTTGGTTGCCGTGCTGATGAGGATGTCACGAAGGATAACCCTTACAAGCTTCTGAAAAGAGAGGAAATCATACAGGATATTAAGACGAAAGCTGCCATGTCTGATTTCAGCTGTGTTAAGCAGATTATGATGGTAAGGGGGTGGGGTAAGGCGGGGGCATTATATTACCCTGATCACCCCGACGATATATTCATGAAACTTTGATGATACACACTATGAGGGCTGCGGGTGCAGACTGAAAAACTGGTTTAAATACATTCTCTATCTGTCCTATCTGTATCCAATTCATAACCACCACAAATGTTTTCAAAATTCATTCTTCTTCTATTATATATCATCATCTGACTCATCTGATTTAAGCCTTACATTTATCCTTTTTCACACAGGAAAAACCTGCCTTTCCCTTTAGTAGCATTTGCATTTATATTTATTTCTAAATGAACATCCCTATCCCCATCTAACAGGACTATCCAGAGGAGGAAATCTTGCTGGTCTTTGACATAGACTTCACATATGGAAATTGCTTCTATTTGGTTCTGACACCTGAAGGCAAGAGCAAACTACTTGAAGTAAGATGACAGAATCTTATTTTATATTTGATAGCAACGTTCAGTTTATAATTCTGTGGAGATAGTAGACCATATTTTTACGTATTGTACACTATACAACTCCAAAACTCTAAAACTAGGATATTCAGGTAACTGTGAATTGTTGCAAAGATTTCAGTGTTTTTTTACTGAACATAAACATCCTATTCTATTTCATGTTATTTATACTGAGCATTCTTGTAATTCTGTATGTGTTCTGCAGCCCCCAGAGCCTGAAACACCAGAAGTGGTTGAAAATGAAGTCAGTAAAACCCCAGAACCAAGGCAATGGATATCTCTTGGTAGTGAGCAGGAAATAGAGGAGGAATCAGTCAAGGAGACCAGACAAAAGGCACTGCAGTATAATGAAAACACCTTATATATGTGCAGTGCGGCAAATTCATTATTTTTACTCTCTAATGTTTGTGTTCCCATTATCCCTCTCTATTCCTCCTCCTCATCAGCTGCGGTACAAATTTTCAAGAGTGCGGAGAAAGTTTGGGATGCCAGTCTATTTTTCTGACCACAATGCAGCAGATTCTAAGGATAGTTTCCTGGAGTGTGCTTCCTACCAAGACAGCAAATTCAGCATCAAGCAGATACAGAGGGACTGCATGATACAGGCAGTTCCCATGCTGCACAGCAGCAGTTCTCAGACAGAGTGGTACGCCAACAAATCTGTGTGCATAAAATGGCTTTGTCCAGCAGGAAAGCACTCTGAGGTTTTGGCAGTCTAGTGGAATCATTTCTCCAGAGATGTTGGAAGGAATTTAAAGCGAATACAGGATTTGTATTGCACCATTTTCTCATCATGAAGAAAAAATGTCATATTCTTTCCTTTCTCCCACATTTCCAGCAATTCATATCAACATACACATCAACACATGAACTGTTTTTCAGTGATTAACAATAATACTTGTATGACAATTTTCACTTGTGTGTATTTTACAGGAAAACCCAGAGGAATATCTCCACCCAGTACAAGCCAAGAGAGTTAAGCACAGATGAAATGGAAAGTATCCTTAATTCTGAGAGTCTGAAGAATTTTATCATCAAAATGACCCCAAGGTGAAATGACTCAGTATTGTTATGATTGCTTGTCTTCCATGTGCTTCCTAAAAGAGTATCTAGTTTAGACCGCAGACTTACAGAAGTACTGTAGCCTTAGAAAACTCAAATTCATTTGTTAATAGAAACAACAGACAGACAGACAGACCCGATCTTTTCACAACTGTTCTGGACACTCATGAAAACAAATTGGTATCTCAGATTTTTGCACTAGGTCCTTTTTCTGCCCAAGTTTAGAGTTTAGACAACAAATTGTTTTTTTTTGTGTGTGGAGACATTAACAGGATGAACATTAGCACTTATTAGTAATAGATGTAATACTCACTGTGACTATAGATACAGAGAGATAGAACCAAGTTTATAGATTGCGTATATACCGAGTTGTGTATATTTACTTCTATAAGGAATCACACGCCAAACTTTTTTGTTTCGTAGGATCTTGCATGCCCTTCAACAGGAAGAGATTGTGAATTTGTTCACTGATGACTGGAAAGCCTTGGGGACAGAGGCTGAAGCTGGTGACTGGTCTGGGCAGGTGTCGAAAGGTTTGGTGCTTCATCAGGCTTTCACAGACCAGAAGTATACTAAAGACAAGAAAATCAGCAGCATTAACTGGCATCCCACCATCCAGGGTAAGGTGTACCATCTTAGTCAGATAACAGATATGTCCAGCAGATCACTACAGTTGAACTTTTGTTTTTTTATTTTTGATTACATAAATACATCTCAAATTCAAACTTCATCTCAGTCTCCAAGAACCATATTGTTAAGAGGAAAAAATGGGACTGGTGCAAAAACGTGATTATGTTGTATTATGTATTTGAAATAGACATCCTTTAAGTCTAAAAGTAGAAGCTTCCTCTTATGAAATGCTTTGTAGTTGTAGCATCATTTGGTGCTCTTTTTGATGTGGCAGGTGTTATAGCTGTGGCTTTGATGGAGAAGAAAGATGAGCAGTCGAAGGAGTGTGCCGTGCCCATTTCAAGACCTGCTTTCATTGTGTTCTACTGCTTCTCTGACCCCTCTAATCCCCAGGTATGAAAAGAAGATGAGAGCACCCCCCTGCATGAAAGTAGAGAGATATCCAGTCTCATATAATATATTTGTCGACACGCTCTCATAAGAAATGGCCGTCGGGATTTGCTGTCATTCTAGAAAAATTTGAGCAGCCCTTTGGTTGCAAAATCAATAACTCTGATCTGCTTATGATATGATTTCTTTGTGGAGATGAGCATGTGTTATCCTTTTGTTCAGTGTCTGTTGAAGCAGTGATTTAAGTGAAAAAAGAAAATCTTATGGAGGGTTACACAGTTTGTGTTAATGTGATTCAGGTAAATATTACCGTGGTCAGTATTAATCAACGTTTATGTAGCATCTCGTAAATGTTTACAGTAAGTTGCACTGTGCGTTGAGAGACCACAGGAAATGAACATGACAGGAGGAAATATATACTGTTAAATAATAAACTAACATTTTATATTTGTTGCTTTTTTTTTCTTTTTTGCAGTTGCTCCTGGAGTGCCCAGATGATATTGTAGCTTTTGAGTTCTGCCCCTCAAATCCAAATATTATTGCCGGTGGTTGCATCAATGGCCAGGTTCTAATTTTCAATTATATTTTACAGTCTTTTCTATCTTTTAAGTTCAACCATTTTCAACAACAATTTGTTTCTTTTCATGCATCATATTGGTTTTATTTCCCTATCATTTTTTGTTTGTCATTTAGTCAGTGTTTATCTTCAGTAACACATTTTGTGTTACTGATGTCTTAGGTTGTCTTGTGGGACATTTCTGCTCACATGGCATACTTGCAGAAGACCCAGTCAAGTAAAAAGACCTCAGTAAGTAGACGCATTTGTAAGTATCCATATTCTGACAAAATCAGGCAAGTTGGTGTGTTTTGTAAAAGGGGCTGCCTGACTGGTGGTTTGGTGACAAACACTGAGGAGGGTCCCTGGATTAAATCAGTTTTTTGCATTGTTCATGCTCAACTGTGCATGTATGGGTTGGCTGTGGGTACTTTGGCTTTTTTTCATTATTATAAACTTCTATGTTGGCGTAATCTTTTATTATAAATTTGCCCTAAGTGTGAGTGTGCATGGTTGTTTGTCTGTCTGTGACCTTGTAATGGACTGGACAAGGTGCACTTTACTTCGTGGGAAAGACTCCTGTCCCTCCTGTGAACCGGTGCTGCAGGTAGTGGGCAGAGAAAATGGATGTTCTGTGTAGCAACTGCAACAGTAATTTGGTTTATTGCAATATAGTTCTTCATTTTGTCAAACCATGCTGAATTTTTGAGAGAATAAAGTCTGTACTCTTCAGTAGTGCTGCATCACAGAGTGGGATGATGATATGGTTCCTCCTGAACACCCACCTCATCCTCACTCTTTCATTACAGGGGAATGCAGTTGCTTAACAGGGCTTTTGTTTCCAGTCACAAATAGTTCTCCAAAAATGTTTAATACACTTGGAGTAAATCTAAAAATCCTCAAGTATACATAAAGAAATAGTCACATTAATATTTTCCGTATAAAATCAGTCAGTTTAAAAAAAAATGTTACTATGCTTAATAGTAACATAACTTGTCGGGCAGACATTAGATAGTTGATAAGGCAGAGCCTTGTAGACCTGTACTGACAACTTCCACTTGACTGCTATATTCAAACAGAGACATACAGTATGCTTTCATCATTCAAGCTCACATTTTTTTGTCAGTTTTTATTGTCTCTACATGGAACAGCTGTCACCATTCCTCCTGTCTCTACTTTATTCTCTTTTGTTGCCCCTCTCCCACCCTCTTTGCCCTCCATCCTTCTCTTTGTCCTTGTTTGCACTTAATTCCCCAGAGTCAACAGCAAGAACTCACATATGCCAGCTGTTGCACAAGTCCCCATCCACCACCCATAGTTTTTCCTTATATTGAAGATAACACTCAGGCAAATCAGATCACTGCCCTGCCTGGTGTTTACACTGTAAACAGCGGCAGTTGTATCAGTTAAAAGGCTTTATTTGGAGGTTGGGTGCTGTGAAATATGTGCTACACTCATAATTGCTTCCTTGGTAGACAAATAAAGTTGTAAAATCATACATGTCGACAACATGCACAACTTAGTGATCAGTTAGATGGTCTGTTGATGTTAGCATGTATATCTGCACTGTGATATTTATTATCAGAGCAATCTGTGTGATGTTTTTTTTCTATTTATTGCTGTCATGCAGACATGTAATTGTGTTGAAGTTTTAATATGCATTCTCTGGAGTTTTCTGCATTTTGATATCCCAATGGACCTCTTTTAAATGTCTTCAAAGTTCTGTAAAGTCTTTCTATGTGGTGTGATTTGTCAGAGCTCATATTACAATACATGCTTTTCCTTTTTGTGTCTGCTGTCCCTCCAGGACCTTGATGACAGTAAAGAGAATAAGACTCCTGTTGTGCGCTTCTGTGCGGTGTCTTCCTTAGAGAACAGTCACAAAGCCCCAATCACTGATATCCAGTGGCTGCCACCAACATTTGAGGTACAGAATGCCGAATGGAAAAGTAGATGGAAAGATGAACCAACTGTATCAACAGCCGCAAAATGTTTTTATTACATCCTCTTGATGTTATTGGTTTTAATTTATTTGAGCACCAACAGTACTACGTCTTAAATGTGAAGATAACTGCATTTGCCACCGTGATATCCATAAAAAGGGTTTTACATAAGATGGCTGAACAATTCAAGGTTCCGGTTGCCTAACTCCGTACTGCTCACTGTGATTAATCATTTTAACCATCTCCCCAGGGAAGCATTATCTCCAACATGTTTTCAAGAACTGTGCTCACTCCGGTCAGTAGACACATATTGATTTTTTTAAACTTTCCCTTTGTTAAGGTGACCAGGACAGGCTTGCCAGTGGAGAACGTGTATAACATATGTGTGCAGATTGTCTCCTGTTCCCCTGACTGGTAGGCCTCACACAGGAACATTTCTGCAATTTAATACAAGAGAATCACTTTCAAGAATTTTCTATTTTTCAAAATTGCCTAAGAATTTAAGTTAAAAAGTATAAATAGTCAATAGCTTTCACAGAGTAATGGAGAAGATATCTCCATTCCTGAACACAGTGTACCAAAGGTCTTGAAAGTCACCAAGGTGTGTAGTTTGATCATTTTAAGGGAAACTTTTATTGGAAAGGTAGCTACGGACTCAGCGAAGACCCTGTAGGTTTTTGTCAGGATGAGGGTGTCACCAGGCCCAGTGTGTGGTGGTTAAACGTTTTGTTTTTTGTTTGTTTTTTCTGTATTATATACATTTATATACATTTATATACATTTTTAAAAGCTCAATACTCTTCTGGGATGTGAGGATGCCGAAACTGATGACCCATTCACTGTTAGACAAGAAACAGAATGTGGACGAGAAGATCCCAATTGCAACAAGCAGTGTCCCTGAAACCTTCAAACACCTGGACAGGACATGGAAACCACTATTTGGGGTACTGCAGAAGTGATGGGTTTGTGATATGGTAGAGTGCTTCAACATTTGACACTCCTAGAGTCAAAATCAGTAAAAGATCTGCTAACAACTATGACCAGAACAAATATTTTTACCACAAAGAGAAAAAAGGAAGGTGGTTTGTGGAGGGGGTTTGTTTTGTATTTAGATCAGATGTGAAAGCTTTCCGTCTTTGTCATGTGTCAGGTTTCCTTGCCAAAGGTTGATACCAGTGGAGAATATGTTCCTTTGAAGTTCAGCCTCGAGCATTACACCTGTAATGGAAATTCAGGCACAGACACAGGTGAGTGCTTCTATTTTCTGAGCTGTGAAGATTTGTTTCAATCTGCTGATCTTTCACCCAATTGTCCTATGATAACTTGCACAAGTGATTGTGACTCAAATACACAAGTTTTTGCAAAAAATGCAATACATTTGATTTTGCCGATTGTTTACACACAAGTCAGAAAACATACTTAAAAGTCATTTACATCACATTTAACCATTGTCAAATTTGTGAATGAGTTTAACATTTCTTCCCTCTGCTTTGATTTGTGAGCACAGTGATCAGTGTGGCAGGCTTTGGCTCTTTGATAACCTCTTCCCCTTTCTGTTGTATGGCTCCATACCACTCTACTAAATGATACTTCCGAAAAGAGGCTGTCATAGTACTTGCCTTGCTAATTGTTTGCTTTTTACAATATGATGCTCGGACTTCTTGAGCAGTACGGGATGATCAGGTTTGCCTTGGTTGGTCAGGATGAGGCCTACCTAGGTCACAGCCTTTGTGACTGACTGGTTATAGTAGTATAGTATAGTAGTCTGTGCAGTGGTCTCATATCTTTAAACACATCTTAACTGGGGGAGATTGGATTCAGAAAATCTGTTTTGGGGTAATCCAATTTGACCTTCAAAAGCCGATTTGACAGAATGAGGCATGATTGGGAGGGCTTGTGAACAGATAAATCTGCACTGTCTATGATAGACAGACACAAAGGGTTCTACTTGCTCAGGCTATCTCTTAACCCCCTTTACATAACTCTACATACCTTCTATCTTAACTTATGTCTTCATTGCTGTCTCTCTCTAAATGTGTTTCCCCATCCAGAAAAAGATGCAGAAAATGAGCGCACAGAGATCGTCCCAGAGTATTGTCAGCTAAGAGTACCATCAGGCAAAACACTTAAGATCCTGAACGATGTCAATTCCAGGTTCTTTGTTGGAACAGAGGTGAATTTGAGCAGTATTTGATCCTGTTTTGACTATTTGAATGTCTTCCCATGTCATCAATTTTACAACTAAGCATCTAGATTTTGTTTATAGATATAACTGAATAATTACAATGTTCAATATTCATGGTTTGAAAAGATGTTATGCTTTGATTTCTCTTTTTTGAATTACCCATCAATGTAATGTACAGGGGAAGTATTCACAAATACCATTCTATATGAATACTTAAACAGATTATCAGCCATGAAAGATAAAAAAACACGACAGTTTGTCACGGAGGTGGGTGTTGAGGGAGGACTCAGTCGCGGAATGAAGGGGAAACAAGGTTTATTGAACAAAAACAGGGTGAATGTCCAGACAAAGTACAAAACAAAGCTGTGGCAAACTGTGGGCAAAGTATCAAAGCAAGCAAACAAGACTGTGGAAAAACTATGACAAAGTAACAAAATAAAGATTAACAAGACTATGACAAAACGTGACTATGACTGTGGCTGTGGCAGAACTAAGACGAAACAAACCTGGCGTGGGGGTGACGACGGACGAAAGGACAAGAGACAAGACAAGAAGACAAGAAGACAAGAACGACCCCGCACCAGACAAGGGGAAACGAGGACTATTTAAACACATGAGGGAGGGAAACCCCAGGTGTACACAATAGGTAATCAAGACGAGACATTCCCCCAGACGTGACACAGTTTCGTTAATGTGTCTTTATTTTTTGTTTTTTTCAGGAAGGAGAAATTGTTTACACTGACTGGAAACTAGAGAAAGACGAGTCTGGACGGCTACACAGTGCGTAGTTTGGTTTGCCATAATAAAAGTGTGGCCAAAGTAGCATAGCCAGATTATTCACATTACTGTCATTTAAAGCAGTTTGATATAATAGCAAGACGCCGCTGTAGCAGAGGGTTGAATAATGAAACCATGATGTTCAGTTTATCAAAATTATTTTAATAACCCCTCACAATAAATCACCGTTTTGGTTTGGCAGGCATGCTAAATGTAATAACCATTATTAAATCAAAGGGATACAGAGAGCAAATTGGTCTTCATAAATCAGTGAAAATATCTTAAAAGAAAATCCTTGTCAAAGCAAAAGTGGATATTCTAATATTTTCTTGCTTTTTCCCCAGGTTCAAAGCCACTTTTCTGTTACAATGCTCATCAGTGGTTGGTGAACACAATACAAAGATCACCCTTCTTTAAAGACATTATTTTGACTATAGGAAGCTGGAACTTTGCTATTTGGAAGGAGGGAGCCATGGTATTAACACGACTTACATTGAACACTAAACATGAATGAATACCTAGAATGCACCACTCAGAAATAATTATTCCAAAATTAAGCTGATTTGGATAGCTGATTTTAACATGTTTCAAAACAACTACATTTAATGTAATTCACAATTATCATGAATAGGCAAATTCACATGATGGGATCTTAAGTAGACTGACTTTGTTTCACTTTGTGTAACCTTCAACATCTAGGGTGGCCCTCTGGTTGTTTCACAATACTTTGAGCAGGAGTGCACCACAGGATGCTGGTCCTTGTCCCGACCAGCAGTTTTCTTCATTGGGAAAGAAGATGGCAGTCTTGAGATGTGGAACCTGCTAGAAAACACCAGTGAACCTGCACATGTTCATGACCACATTACCAATGCCAAGATAACCAGCATCAAACCCTGGAAAGCCTCCCGTGAGTTTACGGCCTTTTTGATGTAAAAGGCATTTGGTTAAATTTATAAAAAAGACTTAGTAAGTGAGTGGAACCAATCGAAATATCATGAGAGTAAGGGTAATGAGAAGTTTTATACATACATAGAAAAAACTGTACTGTGAAATTTTCTAGCAAGTGTGATTAGTTTCCCAAAAAAGGAAAATAGGCTTGAGTTCCTTTTATTTACAGGTCAATATTGCATGTCAGGACAGAGATTTACCTCATTGCTGTGAACAGATATTGAGCTGCATCCTTCCAATTAAGAATGTGTTTGACTTTTTGTTCTGTTCCTCCAGCCAAGCAGCATTTTCTGGCCATAACGGACGACCTTGGTGCTCTCCGTGTTTTGGAAATACCAAAGACTCTCTACATTCCTTCCAAGCATGAGGTACCATACCTAAACTCCAAGCATGAGCTGTCCAGTTTTTTAAAAAATGGTCACAAAAGAAATGTGGTCCCCAAACTTACATTGAAAATGAACCATGTTGTTGATGTTGATGTATTAGATATGTGAATTGCTGACCAGTCTTTGTCCGGTATTTATCTGCAGAATTTAAGTATGAAGAAATACTTTGAACTGGAGGAAGACAGTTTAGAGGATTATTTGAAGAGGGAAGAACTCTGGACGAAACAGAAAAAGGAGGAAGAAGATCACAAGAAGAACAAGGTGAGTAATAATGTTAATTTCAAACAGAAGATGTGAGTGTGTAATATATATCTCAAATGCGTAAAGGGCCAAGAGGATATGGGACTAGATAGCTTTAATAGCAGGTTACAAATGTAATTCAAACATAGTCCATTGCTGAACTAAAGTTACAGGCCAGTATAATAAGAGTGTGCCATTTCTTTACTTTCACATGCTTGCAAAACGTTTTAACCAAGTGAAGATATTTGTCATTTTAGCTTTACAGTGGGGAATTCGAGCCGGTTCTTTCCTGCTGTATCTCTGTCTTTTAGTAAATATCTCTCCTATTGTTTCTTTCCTCATGTTTAATTCATTCCGATTGTTACTTGACTCTGGCCAGTGGGACTAGTGGAGTTATTGATAGGCTCTCCCTGAGAGTCTCTCTGCTAAAAATAAAGACTAAACCTTTTGGTGACTAATTGTTTCCATCTTAGACTGGATGGAATATGATATAGAATCTTGGATAGTGTCTCAGGGCACGCTAAAGTTTTTCATCTGGGATTTTGTCTGCAGGAAAGCGAGAAACAGACCAAGTCCCTGGACGATGAGGAGCTGGACAAGCAAGAGTACAGTGATTACCTGATGTATGAGGAAAACATCTTGAAGGAAATGGGTTTGTGGCCAGAAGATTTAAATTCTCTGGATGCCTGAGAACACACACAAATATAACACACACAAATGCAAATAGTGCTTCACGCAAATACTTTTTTCTTTATTTTTCTTTGTTAAATACGTTTGTAGAAATGTTATTGATGCAACTTTTAAAAAAATGTTACATCTTGTTAATAGTAACAAGATTTAACAATACTAGTAATGTATGGTAATAGTAATGTCATTTTACCAAGTTTATCTCTATTTGGCACAACTTACTGAGAATACAATTTTTTTTTAATGTGTCTCTGTCCTGCTTATATGTAAAACCCGATAACCTTTTTTATTTAAATAAATTGATTTAGCTAATATCAGTAAGAAGGTCCTTAGGCTGTAAGGGTCATTGATGGATTATTTTCATTCACTTATCTCAGATCCAGTTACAGGGTAAAACCTCCATTAGTGCCCTCATCACAGCTGATCCCCAGATATACATTTTGAATGCATCTATGACTGAACTCTTCCAGGACGTCACGCATTTTGTCTTTGATTTCAAGTTTTAATATTGTGAAAAACTGCAGTCAGGATGTAGATTTTTCTTTATTGTTACCTTGTGTATTGCTGATAAACAATTGTGTTGCACACAAGAGAATTTGAAAACCACTCACTGGTTTGTGTGTATGGTATGCCCTGTCCTATCTTATTTTTGTCATATTTTAGCTGTTCCATTTTTCAGTGCCAAGTTATAATCCTTAGATTTGCCTGGTTGTTCTTTCACAAAAACCGGCCCACGTTTTTTTAGCAGTGCAAAAGTGTGCATTTTAGCGTGCCTGGCCGTGCTCCATCAGTATTAACTCACAGCTTTCACCCAGTTTGAAATCCACTGAAACCCATTTTTGTTCATGCTAGATTTATGTCTTGACAGATACTATCTTACATTTCAGATGATGGATGTTTGGAGCATGATTACTTAAAAAAAATGTGGTTGTTTGGTCATTCTTAAGCCATTTGGTTGAAGCTCACTACATATTGATGCTTCATAGGGATTGGAGCCCTTGATGTCAGATTTTCAACCCAGACTTCCACAAACTTGTATTAAAGTCCAACCTTGAATCCAAACTTTTACTTGTTTTATCTGGACTTTCAGTCTTGATTTTGAGTTTGTTTGTGCTCCTAATGTGTTCCTTCATTGCACATTAAAGCAACCATGTTAATCAAATTAATTAAAAACCATACCTGAAATGTTTTTATGAATGAACTTAGGCTGCAGTCAAATGACCTGTGATAATATTTACCTTATGTTGCAATAAGTATCTATTCTACTTTTCAATTCCATTACATTTTGCTCCTTCATGGGTTCAATCAGTGCAGAAATCTAAAGTCCCAAACTGACAGCCGGTATCCTCCCTGAAAAGAAAAAGAGGGAGGGGTGGGGGTCATATGCTGCATAATATAACAGCTGTTTAATGCCCGTGTTTCACCCTGTGTCCAAGTTACCTAAAAGGGAAACAGAGAGAGTGAGGATTGTGAGCGTTTGCGAACAACACAAACAAATGTTGGAAGAGCTGGGTCATTAGAGACAGATGGAGAAAGCACAGGATTCCCCCCCCAGCTAAAGCGAGCTGGGGTCGACTTCACTGTGGCCATGACTTATTCTTGTGGACATCCCTGTCACAGATTGGAGGCAGGGGAGGAGGGGGAAGAATGGGCTGATGTGAGGGTGCACAGAGACAGGCGCCCATATGGCCCCCGAGGCACCAGCAAGGTCCCGGTGACAAAGGGGGCCTCTGCTCTCCCGTCATCTCTTCTTCAAACCTCTCTGGGAAATCTGCTCTGCAGTGGCTCTGTGGAGCCTGTCACTTTCTCCCGGGCCAGCTCAGGAATGTGCTCTCCGCAAGCCGAGGTGTGTCTTCACACTTGCTGCCGGGTTATTATTGTAATGGCTGATGTGAAGAATGTTGTGTCATTTAGTCAGCTTATGCTCAGCGTACTGTAAACACCGACGCAGACAGAGATGTTGGTGGTTTAATCTCCGCTAGCTCTGCTCTCCTTTAATGTTGGGGACAATGGACAACAGCACAGCCATAAACCCCCTGACCCCCACTGGCATGAGGGGCATTCATGATGTCAGATTTTCCTCAGTTGACTTCTTCATCTAGCGCCCAGAGATTTCCCAAGCATAAAAAGAGATCTGTAACCGAGGGGGTGTCCTTACAGAATGGATAGCCTGCGGTTCCGTTTTTATTGCCAGTTCCTCAAAGTTATAATACCGAATCCTGGGAAACAATGCGAGCAGGTGCTGTGTGGGAGGGGCTGTAAATCTAGCCTGGCGAATTAAGCCATTGCTTCGGCATTGTTCTGACTGGCGTCTTAGCAGCTCCCGCTGGGGAGGGTGTTAGGTGGGGTGAGTTTTTTTTTTTTTTTCGAAATGTCTGCCTGCACAAATCTCCGGAGATGGTGGCACCCCGTGCATTTTAGTACGTGGTCATGGTGGAAACTCTGGCAGTGCAAGGAGCTTGTTGCATGACAAAGAACATGAATGAGAAACACTCTCAGATAGGAACTGTTAAATCATGTTTCCTTTTCTTTTCCTATCCGTCAGAAGAATGCATTAGTTTCGAGTGGGGAGAGGAGAAAAAAGCATTTTCTTCTCTCGGTGGCAACATCACTGAAAGTTTCTGGAGCCAAAAAGCAACAGGAGTAATCAAATTGATCCTCATTTGAATCGTCAGGCTTTGTTTCACTGATGTAAACTAACGGGCTGCCTCTCAGTGGAGCCTCTGTGAGGTTGGTGGTGGGTTTCATTAGTTGACCCTCGACCTCATAAGAGATCAGGTGACCAAGACACTGCTGTGGAATGTTCCCTCTTGACTCCTTTTCATTTTCTAATTTCAAAGCTCTCAACAGTTAAGATTCCTGTCATTTTAGCCGCAGCTCCCAATGTCCACGGCAGCGTGCAGCACAGCTGTGTCTATGTGTGGGTCTCTGTCTCCCTCCTGTTTTTTCTTGTCTTGAATCTATGAAATCTGTAAAGTTGTACGGTCTGACAGTTTTCTGTCAACTGAAATACTTGACCCTGTGGGTGCTCCTTAAGGGTCATAAGTTGAATTCAGGGTAAAGGTTTGAATTAAGATAAGGTTAAGGGAAAGGTAGAACATAATCGCCATGGTGATGAGGGGAAGGAATTGGATCTGCATCGTGTCAGTGGTCACATTGGATATACATAAGAGAGTGTGTGTGTCATTGTGTGCAGACCAAAGTAAAAAACATGACAGTTCTAATGATAGAAGGAAACCGAATTATAAACTAACACGCCTTTGAAGCTCAGAGCTCTTGCGAATAAGAAAATAGGTTGATTTGTCTTCGTCCCTTTCATTTTAAGACCTTTAATTTTAGTTTTTCGTGCTCTTAGCGTTCAGCAGTTTGTTCAGTACCTACAGGGTTTTTAAGGGCTTGATGAATTAAGTTTGCCTGGAGTTGCTTGGTTTGTATTTGGCATGCTGGAACACAGTTTAATTGTGACTGTGAACTAAGACCCAAAATTACATTGTGCCATCACTGTGATTAACCTCTGAGTCATCTTGCATTTTTTAAAAGTATTAAGAACATCTTCAGCAAAATGAATTGCCAGTCCGCCCTAATTGAGCTAACTATGTTTGACCGTGCTTGTGTTTTTTAAATTTGAAATTTTAAGCTAATGCTCACGGGTGTTCACAAAGGAAATGTAATAATACTATTGTTTAACAGGAATATTTATGTGTTTGTAATGTGTTTTTTAACAGCGAGCTCAGGTAACTACAAGTGGGGTTTTCATTTTTCAGAGATATTTCTATAATAGCTCGGATGTTAAGTCCTTTGTTGGTCACTTCCATCACATATTGATTTTTACGGTCATATCCCATGCATGCAAAGATGTCCCCAGACTAATAGAATATAGACCACTGCTCGTGTTTCCATTAAATTTTCATGTTTCTATACCCTTGTGCAAATAATACCACGCGGTACTGAGGTAGCTATATAATATTGGGCGTCAATAGATATGGCTCAAATGCATAACTGACGTAACCAGGGCTAGAATGTCGAAAATGAGCTTCTGCCAGTACAAAGCTGACGGGCATCTGGTTCACAATGAAATATGCCAGTAGGAGACTTTTAGTTCCAGACCTAAGGAAATGCATTTAATGATACCTCTCGTTCTCTCACAAAGAAAATCGAAGCCGCCTTCATGTGGCTATCTAAGTCTTCAGTTATCTAGTCTCCAATAAAAAAAAAGGATTCCCAAAATTCTTAATAGGTTATTTGATGAAAGGGCCAAAATGCCCTGTGGTCAGCCTCAATGACCTGCCACCTTTAACAGTGGATAAAGCAAGTTTTACCGCTGACAGCTGGAGTGTTCGGCTGACAGCGGGAAGGCGATAACGTCCACTAAAATACCAGCCGTATCATTCCACTTCCTCATCACAACTCAGACTTATCTCTACACCATACTAGCTCAGTTAGAGGCTGCTTGGGCGAAGGACCACTACAAAAGGTGAGCCACCTGCAGGATATCAAACCATCCACCCGTTTTCCGTACCGCTTATTCCCAACTGGATCCCAGAGTACACCCCGGACTGGTCGGGCTATCAAACTAGTGAGGCCCAAATCCTCTCAGTGAGCCGGAGCGCGGCTGCTGCCGAGGCCTCTTTTCAGTCTCACCTTTCACATTTTTTTCTCTTATCAAGCAGAGCAAACCCTCATCCTATCCTCGAGTTGAAAAGAGAGTCCTCCATGCTGGAGGGGCAGGAGGGAGAGAGGTGATGAGCAGCTTACCTTTTGGAGGGGATTAGCCTTATTAAAATGAAACAGTCTAGTCCTGAGTGACAGAGCAATGGAGGTGAAGGAGGGACGAGGCCGGGGGGACGGAGGAGTTGTGTGGAGCCTGTGCTCTGAGGATCTGAAGGGGCCGCTCCCCTGTGTTCTCCTTCACTTCATTCTTTACTTTCTCCATTCTTCACTTTCACTTCTCCCTCTCTCCTCGTCTTCCCCCCTTTCCTCGGCTCTCTCACCGTCTCCGCAGTCCAGAACAGGCGGATCTGTCAGCGCTGCGTCAGGAGATCTGCCCTCAGACCCTCAGATGAGCTGCCAAGAACAGGGGCCGGGCTGCAGGAGAACAAAAGACCCCCAAAAAACACAGAGTAACGGCTGGGACCTCAGCAAAATGTGTTTAATAGGCCCTCTATTGACGGGCAATGCATGTATGGAATGTGTGCCCCGGGTCAATGTACTAAGGTTCCCAAGTAGTACTAAGGCTCACTTCACCCTGTGGATGAAATGAGCTTCTCAAATTGTTTTCACTGAAACATGACAAACACCTAAAGTTTCTCAGTATAACTTTGTGATCATAAACTAATGATACAGAGTCTTTGTAATATTACCATGGTTATGAAATCAAAGGTACAGGGTAAATTACTTCAGTCATTCATTCATGAATGGATTTGTAACAAAAATAATATACGTCTAAACATTTTATTTACAATGTGTTTGACTTTATTTAACAGCACACAACAATTATGGGCGCAGAGGTGAATTGAGGGTCCAACCTGGAATCAGACATCAGACTCAGACTAACAACATTTGGGCCAACGAGGTAGGCACTCTAATAACAATTTAAACTAAAGATTAAAATGGCTCAGAGACAAGCATCACTTACACACATCTGATGCCAATTCAACAGTTAAGTGCACCTGGAAATGTGAGGAAATGTGTTCATATCTTTACTTTCGAGGGTTTCTGGTATACTGCGACTCTCAAACTAAATTAATCCTTGTGAATAATTTTGTCCTTATATGATTAAGATGGCAATCTCTGTATGCTTTCCCATAAGGTCACACAGATCATTTTGAATGTCTGCTTTGATGTCACTGCCCCAGCTGACCTAATCCATCCAAATGCCATTTTTTTGTCAAAGTTAACACTAAGCAATGATGAAAAAAAGATTATGTGAAACAAAACAAAGACTGTGCGTTGTGTGTCTGGCTGGTTGACTTGCAGCTATGATAGTGACTCAAAAGGTCAGCAGAGATTATAGGAATGGATGAGAGGGAGAAGAAGAAGAGGTCTGGTTTCACATGCAGGTGGCTGTCAAGGATGTTTACCTAAAGAGGGCCGTATCTCGTCCCTCCCAAATTAGAACTGAACAAAAGTTCAATTCAGTTCACTCTGTCAGACTGCCTGATATAAAGTGGCAGTCCTGACTATCCAAACACGCTCGGCTATTTTGTCTACCTTTGTTGGTGTGGGATTTCACTCTTGCTTTAGCTGGGGCTGAAAGAGTAGCAAAGCCAGTGGAAATAAGCCAGTAAAATATTTGGAGCCATTATCACTTACATTTCAGTCTTAACAGTTTCTGAGGAAAGGGGATGAGGGGATCTAAAGGAAGCTGTCGAACTGCGGGCAGGTATGTGTACATTCAGAACCCCAAAGCTCCCCTCACACCAGATCAGTGCAGCCATGGAAAACACAATATAAACCCACTGTGGTGACATCAAAGACGACAGAAATCCATGCTGTCATTTAGAGATTTGTATCATGGACCCATGCTGGTACAGTTATCTCATCCTGAACTGATTTCTGGGCACACTTTGGAAAATACGGTTTTGAGTGAATATCTATTTCATGTATTTTACATCTCATACTCTATATAACTGCAATAAAAATGCAGCCTTCCGGGAGATGATTTTACTGGATGGCTAAATGCAGCTGTATCCCGGGAATGCCCCCGCTTCTGGGATCAGTTATGGGAGATTCCCACAAGCCAGCAAGGGCAATTCCCTGACATATTTACAGTATCTGCATACTGCAGTGTTACAGAATTGCCACCACAAAGAGGTAAACCTTGAAAAAAGTTCAGGAAATAAAGGTTATCTTTCATCTTTGTTTTTCGGGGAAAAGACGATCATTTTTAGTTTGGGAAAATGTGGCTGCAGAGATGAGTCACATAAGCAACGAAGCTAAACAGGCTAAACACAAGAAATGTATTTGTGGAAGAGCTGTCAGAACAAAGGTTGGTTTTTTTAATCAATCGATTCCGGGCTTGTACTGGGCATGAGACTGGAAAGATATTGACCGAACACTAAACATATTGTTTTCTTTGCCAGAGACATCTTTTTCCTTCAATAGCTCCACAATCTAATCTGTAAATTCAGCAAACTGTGGAAAAGAAGGTCTGCCTGAAGCGATTATAGAAACAATAGTGACTTTGAGGAAAGTTTACAAGACCTGAAAATACTTGCAGATGCTTCCAGTAGTCCTGATTGGATCGGCTTTGTATTCCTGTGTACGTACTGATGAGTAAGACCTGACCTCTATCTTTATTCCTTTGTGTGTCATTTTTACCGCAACATATCTGAATCAATACAGATAGCCACCAATTTGTCTGAAAATTAGGGGCTATTAGACTTTACAAGCGAAGAGGTCCACATCTGATGGTCCCGAGGTTGTTTAACAATGGAGCTACACATGCCTGGAAAACACAAAATGAAAGCAGACTCACATGAATGTAAAATAATATACTTTATTATGACCATACATTTTTCAGGATCAATACAAAGCACTTCTCTGTTTCGTTTCGCAATGATTTCAACGTGGCACTTTTTCTTCCAAAGGACAAAGAGGAACAGACAGAAATAATTTGGATTATCCAAATCTATAATTCACCAAAGACAAAGCAGACTTCTGCTGGAGTACGCTGTCACAAAGCAAACACTACATCTGTCATGATCAATTACTAAAAAAAGGCTTTTTTTATTGCATCAGTAACATAAAAAAAAATGTAAAAGGACATTCAGGATGAAGACCTCAGGTTTCAGAATATCTTTTAAATAACAAGCAGCCTCTTCAGAAAACTGGATCTTTGGAGGTGAGGATGCTGATCAGCTTTAAAGTACAATCCCTCATAAAAAAGGACAAAGGTATACATGTATGCTGAGGAGCAGAAGTTGTTCTTTGAGATAATTTACTGATCCTCAACAAAGGCTCCATTAAAGGAGGCTCCAGTTCTTTGTGCTGTCTGTGTAGACAGATGGTTTGAAAGAAACCCTGCTGCAACTCAGCAGCAGCTACAGCTTCACCACAAAGCTGCACAAGCACCACATGGATCAACAGATTAAAAAAAACAACATAAAACATAGCCATTGGAAAGGTTATTCTCTTTCACTTCTATGAATGAAAAGGACAAATTACAAATGTAAAGAAGTGCAGTCTTTCTTTCCTGACTAATTTTTGTTATGAAAACAATTGGGGATTTTAATGGTTTCTAATGTTTCTAATATTACACTTAAATCAAAACATGTAAATATCCAATTTGTCCATTTTCTGTTCAACAATTTAATCGATTTATAGATTTAAGATACCACCTGGAGAGTCACAATATTTGGGATCTGGAAAAAGGACTACTGCTTTTACTCTGTCATGTACATTTTCTAGAGAAAATAACTATCTTCGTCTGGGTCCTTTGGAAGAAAACTTCAACAATGTAGTCATGTGTTTATCGAAGGAACAGAGGTTTGAACAAATGAGCATACATTACAAAATAGTCTTATTTTACACATAAATAGGAAACACAAAGGCAGATGAGAAAGGCCTTGTTTTTCAGTAAAGCTTTTGACCATGCAACGTTCAGTACCTTTAAAAAATAAACACCAAAAGTCATGAACACAGCTTAGTCCACCAGAGACACAAAACACTGTCAAATATATACACAATATAACAAAAATAACAATATCACTTTTCTCTGCAAGGGCACATTTTTATCGTATATTTTACAGCTAAATTTTGTACCATTAGTTCAGCACATTAAGATGCATACAGGTAGCTCAAAGGGAGATAAGCAACTATTGCTACAGGTCAACTCTATGAGGTCATTGGAAGTATTTAAATACGGTATTGCAATATAAGTTGTAAAAATAATATACTCCGAATACATTTATATAATTATATACACATACAAATAGGTTAAATACTGATCAACCTTAATCCCTGGATTGCTGACAACATCCTTTGTTGCTTTAGGCAGCTAGTTAAGTTCCACTAACTGGGTGAGGTCTCCACTAAATTTCACTGCTCACAATTGTGCTTCACATTGTCTATTTCACTGTTTTCATGCAGGCGAAGGTTGGGAAAAGCAGAAAGGCGACTCGTTTTTTCGTTTGAGACTTTAGCTTATGTCTTCTGCTGCAGTTAAAAAAAAGAAGAAAAAAAGACCAATGCCTCATCCACATAGGCTTATTGTAGCCATGTACAAAACAAAATTAGGGGGGGGAATTTAAAGAAAAACTCTTAAGACAGTGCAAGATGAACTGTTCCTCCAGATTTAGCCCTTTATGCTGGGCTAGGAAACGCTGGGTAAAGCTAATTGTCCAGCAAATCTAGCTTATAGTTATCAACAGACACGATTTGCTTCCATATTCATTTTGAATTTCAGGTGAATTTGCTTTGATGGCCATGCAACATCAAACATGCTGCGATAACAGAGTTTATCTATATATTAAATAAGAAAAACTTGCACAATTATCTTGTCTTTCATTGAGAGGATATGTGGCTGTTCACCACTTAATTCAGATCACAAGCAGAATAATTGTTATTGCATCGACTATCACAACAATCTAAAACACCGCCTGCCTAATAAGTGCATTATTGTTGTACGATATTTAGTGTTTTTATACCACAATAGAAAAGCTTTCTGCTGCCTTAAATAATAAATCCATCCTAAAACAAAATGCTCCTGTTTCTCCAACAATCTTGGTTTGTTTTAGTCACACTTCAACCTGCTTAGAGCAGATCAGAAAATACAGCAGCTCTCCAACACAATATTCTTATTTAGTCGGAGCAGAAGTGTCAGTATTGTGTGTTCATTTTCATTCAAAAAGTGGGCTAAACTTTCTATTTTACCACCACACTATTAAAATGTTGGGCCTGCTTATGAGAAATCAGGAAGCTTGTAATTGAACATTGGTCTTAATAATATCCCAAATGTTCTCTTGTTGTTTTTTTCCAGGTGAGAGGAGACAATGCATTTTATTTCAGGGTGGATTTTCCTCTTGACGTACCACCTTCACACAATTAAGGCACCTTTTAAACCCCTCGAAGGGGTCAATTGGTTCTTCTAATAAGAAGAGAAGCAACAATAACAAAACGGAACACAGAATGCAACCGAAGCGAATCAACAACAACATAAAGTAAGACAGCCGACGAAAAAAAAAACAAAAAAAAGGCAGAAAACGACCATGGGAATGTCTGCGGATAAGGTACAAACTACAGAAGTGCCCTGTTTCCCGTGCTGTGCTGCCATGGCGACGTCGCGGGGTCTCATGGGGAGCGCTGTGGCTGTGTTCAGAAGCACCCGGCTGAGAAAAGACGGGATACAGGAGTCTGTGCGACAGCGGGGGAGTCAGTATCCGACGTTGAGCTTGTTCTTGTTGAGCTCCCGCTCCAGGTTTCCTATCAGGGTGTCGATGCTCTCCTGGAGGTCTCGCAGGTTGACCCTGTTGCTTAGCACGGGGCTGATGTCCTGGATCTTCATGTAGGCCTGATAGGTGTGCTCTTTAGGTAGGGGAGGCGGGAGGATGTGCTCACAAACCCTCTCCTCTTCCTCCTCTTCTTCTTCTAGAGACTGCCTCTTGTTTGAACCCTCATTTTCTCCCTCCCTCTCTTCATCATCGTCCACCCCCCGATCTTCTTCCCTCAGCGCGTCGTCCCCCTGAGGCTCCTCCTGCTCGGCAGAATCCCTCGCGGGAACCGGGACACTCTCGGGTTTGTCTCCCTCCCGTTCGTTGTCCCGCTCCTCCTGGAGCTCCTCGGCTGCGTCCGGGTCCTCACAGGGCACGTCGTCGTAGTCCGCCTCCTCTCGGCTGGGCGGCAGCAGGAACTGGGAGGGGAAGTAGCTCTCGCCGCTCCAGTCCCCGGCGTAGCGGTTGCTGGGGCTGTCCAGGCGCCCCGGCCTGGGCCGCAGAACGCCCGCCATCTCCGCCTCGCTCAGGTTCAGGACCTGGGGGCGCTCCTTTCTGCGGCGGAGGGGAGGAGCTGACGTCAGCTCGGAGGAGGCCGGAGTCACACAGGCGGCGGGGGTCTGACCCGAAGACTGGACGTGATGGTCCACAACTGACGGAAGACAGACACAAGAGAGACGTGATGAGTTAGAGGCAACGCGGAGGTGCGCTGTAAAGTCCCGAGAGGAAGCGTTAGCACGAGTTACAAAAAAATCAGCTTTTGTTAGAGTGTCTGAACATGGTGGGAGCTTTGTTCAAACACCAGGAGCCAACATTAACTACGCAAACGTTCTAATCCACTTGATTTACTATTGTTAACTATTAGCTTTGAATTTGGGTACATTGTTATAAGTTGATATCATATTACAGTTTGCAATTCATGTTTACGTATGCAAACCAAATCAACTATTACACATTTATTAACAATACTTGATACAAAGCAAACTCAGAACCTGCAAACGCCACATATATTTATTTCAGCCTAGTAAATCAAATGCAAATGAAATTCAGCTTGTGTTGCTTCAGCTTGTGGAGACAGCTTCTCTTTCCAGAAACACAGAGCACTGCTCTGCTCCATTCTTTTTAACAGAGTTATGTCAATCTTTCCATTTGTAATTACTCACAAGTTTTCCTAATTATATGCAACAAAATTGTTAGAAATTTAACTGTCAGTAGCAACAAACAAAGTTTGCTTTGTTTTTTAATGGCTACAGAAGAAACAACACAGAGCTGGATTCAGGAGAGGATATGTTTTATGTGCGTTTTTTGTAATGTATGAACAAACATGTTTGATCGTGCCTGGACCAGAGAAAAGCCTTTTTTAAGGAGGAGATGCATGCAGACGTCACATCACCACACGCTGTCACGTCAATGTCCTCCATCTGAGGTGTTTGTTAGCAACTGCTGACTAAACCACACTTAAAAATTAACCAAACTTAAAGGCGTCTACATGTTATCTGACTGCACTGGGAAATAAAGGAACAGTAAGCACTTCAACACAGCCCGCACAGTCCGGTTACCTGTCGGCCATTATCTCTGTGTAACCGCTGGGAAAAAAAACACAGATTGAGCTGTAAATCAAGTGCTCTGTATGTATGTATGCTTTGAATTTAATTTGATTTCATGAGGACTTGGAAGGTGATCTTAAATGCTATATTTTTTTACCGCACAAAATTTGTTTTAAATTGTTTCAAAGCAGAAATTATTCTAAATCATCAGCCAAGTTGGATCTGGTTCAGTCACCGCACGCTGCTGCTGATATGGAGTTTCTGTGCAGTGGGTGCTTACCCGACAGCACTCCCCAGGCTACAGACTCAAGCAATTATCACTTGAAAAAAACAGAAATTATCCACCTTTGAGAGACGCTGCTATCTAATTTCAGACATGATTCACTGATGACCTGAGCAAAGTTATGAGGTGTCAGCAGGGAAAATAGAGCCATATGATCCCACATTTCATGCATTTGAATGGATGAGATATTGGCATTATTTGCCACAAAAATAATTATACCCTATATATAAAATACTTGAGGGAAAACTAATCAAAGTTGAAAGCAATCAATTCTTATTACCTATTTAGAAGCACCACCATTCATCACCGCATTCTCTGTCCAGATGTTTGAAAGCTAAATGTTGACCATTTTGACGATATTGACCAGGGAATCATCTCAGTTTCAGTGGTTATGGATTATTTTTGTAAACAGAATAAAGCTGAACTTATCCTCACATGAAGATCTTTTATTATTTCTTTATATGGTGTCCCAGCTTTGTGCCTCCAAACAGTTACAATTTTAGCACCTATTCAGCCGGGGTTCCAAGCGGACTGAGCTGAGAACAAGATCCTAAATTCACCCTGTAGGTGAGTTTTAGGAGACGATCATTCCTAAATGAACTCCACGAACTTGGAAAACAATAAATAAATAAGCAACTGAAAAAAAATGTGCACGCTGCCCGACCCAGCACAAGCAGGGGTTTCTGATTTCCTGATCAGGCATCTGCTCACACAGCAGTCTGACAGCGTCTTGGGCATTAGTGCCGTCTCACTCCCCGCAAACAGTGTCAGTATTTTTCCGCCAACACTCATCAGATGTCCAGAGCCACGCAGAGCCGGGGCCCGGGCAACAATGAGCGTTTGGTATGCGCGTGTGAGAGGCGTGAAGTATCGGCTGAAAATATTGCACGACGATTGCGAAATGTTAGGTTGAGGCTCTGGGGGCCGAGAGGTAAGGTTAAGCCTGGAATGCCTTTAATTACAGTCAGGGCGTCCTACGCTCGGCAGCAGGGAGGAGGACGGAGCTAAGGTGCTGCAGACGGTACAAACAAAGCCCGGAAGCTTGAATGAAAGCTCTTATCCGACACAAACAAGAAAAGAGAACAGAAAACCCACATAGAGGATCGGTTTAATTCAACTGAGGTCAGAACTGAAAAGAGCGGGGAAGTAGAAACTTTTAAAGCATCACATTCCCGGAATTCTTTTAAAAATCAACATGTGGACATGAACTGCACTGCAGCCACGGCAGCTACTGACTAACTCACATAGTTATACGTGGTGAACACAGATTCTAAAAAATGTTTTTTAAATCATCTGGGATATTAAAAACATATCAAATTATTTGCTGTAGCCAATACAAATTCCACCCTGCCGGAGGTGCCTATCATCACTCTGAACTTTTAGACTGAATATTCTTCGTGTTGGAGACAGCTGCAGCTGGCAGAGAGAGCCGTGCAGAGGCAGACAGATGTTCTGCACAGAGTGAAGCAGGTACCGAGGATCTGCCCTTGGTGAATGATTTATCGTAGGACGTAAGGGGCCACGCCTGCAAGGTTTGGGTTTCTACTGGGGTTTTCTGGGCTGGCTCTGATTGGCTCAGCCCAACACCATGAAGGACTTGTGGAGGGTTTCATGTGTGAGGGGCCAACAGATGGTGGCCAGTGGCTATCAGCTGCACTTGTTTGAGCCTAAAAACCTCAGGGATCAAAGAGGCCCAACCCCTACGCAGGCCTTTGCACAGCTCAACTGCAGAGCTGGAAGTGATTTGTAAGACACTTTTATAAAAAAAAAAGACCGAAATGGCCAGACTATAAATGATATGTTCTTTAAGGCCGTGTGACCTGCTGCACGCTTTCATAGATTTTAATGAAAAATGAAGGGAAAAAGATTCACCTGGCCAGAGCTGCAGCAGGTAGTGAAGGACTTCGATGTGCTTTTTGAAGTGGAGCGCGCTGGCCAGCTCCTCGGAGTCGATGAAGACGCGGTTGGAGTGGCACGACGCCTCCTGGCGCTGGCTGAGCAGCACCGGGCCGAAGCACACCGCCAGGTTCTGACACGTCATCTTGTTCGCTTCCTGGTAGGATGCCACCCGCTTCAAGTGGTCCAAAAGCCTCCGCAGAGTCATCTGATGCCGACAAGACATGTTATTAGTGTGATTAGTAGGTGCAGTAGTACCACGAGCTGCAAAGTAGTTAGACATCTAAGCAGTGGGCCATGTGTTATCGCAGGAATGATCGAGATGCATGCAGTAAACAAACCCTCATTTTAAAGTCATTCTACATGGATTTTAACGGCAGAATTTTAATAGTTGCACGGTTTGGTTCGTCATGGATGGTAAATCCAAAAAGAAATACATCTCTGTAGCAAAACCCCAACATGAGTTTGATATTACCCTCATTAATTGTTTTCTTGTTTTTAGTAGGACGGAAAAGGGAAGCTGTTTGTGCCAGTATACTGTAATAGTGTGATTATAAAACCCACAGCGAGTCAGCCAAAATGTCAATCTTTGTGGGCTAAAAAGCTCTGCTATGTCCAAAGTAAAAAACATACGCAACGTCTGTAAAACCTGATCTATCTCCAGCATCATCGTCAGTTCCATAACCGTCATTATCTTTGCTACAATTAGCCCTTTGGCCAGCTGCGTCTCAGACCTCACAGAGGCTTTAGCTTTATTTGCTCACCCTCTCCACCTCCGGCAGCTTCTCAAGCAGGCTGACGGTGTGCTCCGAGTCGGCCTGGTCATTCTCGCATCCCGCTGCTCCGATCTTCAGGGGCCGCACGGCCATGGACTCCAGCACTGCCTCGTAGAGCTGTTTGGTGATCAGAGGGTAGGGCAGCTCGCGCAGGTAGTCTTTCAGAACTCCTGAAAAGACAGAGACAGAAATGACAGCTTAATAGCAGTTATGTTAGAACTACAGGATAAGTCAACGACATAAGCTTCTCCCTTCTTATCTGCTGAATTGAGAAAAAGGTGCTTTGATATGTGACAAATCATATATCTTGAAATGATGCTTTGCTTTTCCCTTTTGCATAAAAACACTGAACCTGATGCCCTCTTTTTGTCACAGATTGAGGTCTCACTCCTTCCTAGAGGGATCCTGTGGTGTCTGCCAACACAACTGATTGAGCGGGGTGTGACTCAGAAGCCAGAAGAGTGTGTGTGTGTGTGTGTGTGCGTGTGTGTGTGTGGGGGGGGGATGGAGGCACAGTGTCTGCGGCGGCGCGTTCGCACCTGTGACTTCCAACTCCAGCATTTCAGACAAAAGCTAAAAGCAAAAAAAATAATAAAAAAACAGACGAGAAACCCACGCCGTCTGTCTCCACTAAGCCCCTGAAATATCACTGGCATGTCTTTTCATCAAAGAAGAGAGAGGGGGGAATAAAAAAAGAGAGGGTCTTGGCTGTGTGACAGCTCTTTGTGGTGAGTGCCTGCTCACTTTTCCCTCTGCGTGAAGCGGGATCAGTTGTCAGGGAAGGCTGGGGGCGGTGTAATTAGCAAGACTGGATGCGCTCCAAAGTAACACACACCTAATATTTATGAAGTGCAACAAGAGACGGCCCCAATTCTGGCGAAGTGACATGCTGCAAAACAGAAATCCAAACGAATGCAACAATTTCTCAATAATTCAAACCATTGACTTCCTAAAAAATCACATAGGAATCGTTTCATTTGAAAGAAACAAGGCCACCAGCATTTGTATGCCTTTTTTCCCTTTAATGCTAGCTTTATTATTAACTCGGTTAATATTTTCTACAAACATTTCACCTTCAGCTGAGTGCAAGAGAAATATTTACCCCTCAGTGGAAACAGGTAAACACTCACTTCTCTGCTTTACTGCTTTCTTATTGTTAGGCTTTCCTAATAGTCCCCTAAACCCTGTATACTTTAGCATTCGAAAACATAATTAATTTATATATCTATTTAAGGAAACGTCAAACAGAGACAAGTACAAAAACAAAAAGAAGCGTTGACTCAATAAGAGGTAACCAGGTCATTGATCAGTTAATTGGCAAGTAACCTGTTGCCCAGTAACTGGACAGGTGAACAGGACAGAGATTAGTGACATAACACGATTTAACCAAAATATCCACAGTCTTTCAAGGCAAAGTTTTCTTAAAAGGGAGGACTTTGCTAATTTTAGCCAGAGCACCGTCAGCAGGTATTACAACAGAACCGCTCTGGAGTCTTAGCTAATCAAACAAAACCCCATTAACATTTTCTTGCTGCCAAAAAAAACTGTTTTTGTTCAAACAATTTGAATAGTACTCTATTTGGTCAGTACTCCACACACAAGGTCCAGTTTTACCAGCTCTATCGAGCTGCTTGCCTCTCATCGACCATTGAGGATTAAGGACTTGTTTTGTTTCATGCTTTCTACTAACAGCGGTCTACAATACGATTCGCTCCTAATCCACTGACATCTCATTTGGCATGCCTTAACCTTCTGATTCTTAATCCCAGACTCCTTTTTAAAGCAGTCTGAGGCTTAATGCTTCTCCGTCTATTTCCAACGGAGTTGCTGAGTTGTGGGTACATTATCTATGTCTGTGTTTTGGGAAAGTGATGACACGTCCAGTTCATGTCTTTCTTTTTAACAGAAATAAAGCGGCAGAGGGGTCTGAATCAATTTCAGAGACACTGGGAAGTGTCAGATTAGCACTGCATCAGCACAGCAGCATTCAGATCAGGCAAAGACTTGACAGCTGTGCAAATGATTCACTGTAACAATGTAACACTTACAACTAACATCCATCACTGGGGCTTCATGAAATGTTTCTGTAGTTAACTTTCCCCCCTTCGCCCTGTGAGTCAGCATGGCAGATGTTTACTTTCTTGTATTGCTCTGATTCACATTAATACTTCTGTTATTAACTGTCTGGGTCAGGTTGGATATGAATGTGCATTTGATAATGGAGAAGAACTTTTTTTTTTAAAGATTTGCTGGTTTCCCTATTGGTTGTATCCATGGGAACTATACAACAGTGAAGACCTGGTTATTACATAACTGGGAAAAAATGTCTGGGAACCAAAATAACTATCAATATGTTTAAACTCTTGTCTTCCTGCATACGTTTTTTTTAGTACTTTGCAAAAAGGATATCGAAAGAAAATGCAAGCGGAGGTACCTCTACAGTTGTTTTCCTCCCCGGTCATTACTATAAACTCCATACATGCACATTTGGGCTCTCTCTGTTTCAGTCATTTAAAAAAACAAAAGGTGGTGCATGCTAAGTATGAGCATGTGCACGTGCAGCTGTGTTTAGCTGAAGTGAGCTGGCTACAGCCTTCAGGTAAATCATTAGCCCTCTAAAGGCCGGCGCTCTGTTTACTTTTGCGTCTTGGCTCCTGTTGGTGCCTGATCAGCTCGCACACCCACACAACAGTTCACTCAGACACACGTCTACACACCACCAGACGAGGTCAGAGGCTCAGGGTGAACAGGTGTGCCTTCCCCGCAGGAGCTTCACCCTTTTCACAGCCTAGATGACAATAAACACCCGCTGAGTGTCTTCCCTCTCACATTTAAACCGTCGGGCTTTGGCACTTGAAATGATCACAGAAACCACCACAGAATCGGCAAAACGGACAACGAAACCTTTCAGACGCGACCTCACAGCCTGCGGTGAAGCAGCAGATGAGGGCAGAGTAAGGATTTTTCTTTACCCAATTCAAACTATTTCGCCGTTTGCAATGTGCCACCAAACACGACAAGGCGCACAATGCGCCGGGCCACCGCTCCACCTTTGACCTGTTGTTCAAACAAAGCGGAGGGTCACTCCTCTTGTCAGTGCTGCAGTCAGTGCCTCGCCTGGAGAACAAACAGGGGTTTGTTCTCTCTCCTGCCCCCTCCCCGCTGTCCTGAACACCCCCACGGCACTTGCAGGGGGGGGGGGGCAGTGGAGACGTGTGTGTCGCGGTGAAGTTTTACACAGTGCTTCCTTCAACGTTTCCCCAGGCCGAGAACGAGCAAACACCACAGACCTAAATCTGGAAGCTGCAACGCCCACGCCCCACCGGCGGACTCCTCGCTGACCGGACTTAGACCAGTCTTTTTCGACTCCTCACCTGGAGTTTAAGGACTATTCTGACACCCACGGAGGCCCGGAGCTCTTTGTGACGTGCCGGCCCGGGGTTCAGCTAATCCCCCATGCGTGAGCCAAATACCATCTGTGTTTGTTCGGCAACAAAGGGGGCACTTGTTAATGACTTTCCATGTCTTCGCTGGAGTACTGCCGAGGGTGCGTGGGGGGGGGGCAAAGTAGGGAAGTAGGCAGCAGAAAAGACGACTCGGGCAAAACTGATCAATAATTATGCAGAGCCTTAAACCAGCAGTGCTGGGCCATCATTGATCCATCATTGAGGGCAGATGCCTCAGATGGCTTCCCTTCACTTGATCATTTTAAGTGATTCTTTTTTCAGGTGTCAGTCAGGATGAAATAGGGGCTTTGCTGCTTTTTCTAGCCTCCGGACTGTCTTAGAGCTATTTTTTTGCTTTGCTGTATTGAACTTTTACTCAACAGTCCTAATCAGACATCCCTCACTATTTCAAAGTAGCTGCTTACCATTTAAACTCTAACAACCTACTACTGACACAAGTCATGGGTAGCTGAGCCACTGCAAATCCTTTGGATCTCGGGGTGGCTGTGGTGTTTCCTAACGGGATTTCTGAGTTCAAACCGGTGACGTGTCACTAGTGACCCCAGCTGTTTGGGTTTGTGGAGCCCCTCAGTTTGGAGCCAAAGTTAGTTATTTGTGAATGCTGTCTTCAGGCTTCGTTTCCCATCTCATCCTGATGGGTTGGTGGAAATTAACGTACCTGCCAGACAGCCTTCACAAGCTCACACCTGCCTTCAGAAGGTGAAATGCTGGAACATTAGCAAACACCTTTTGGTCAAAAATAGGAAGTATGAGGAAGTTATTTTTGGTTGATGGGATTAGAAAGCTTCTTAAAGGTATTTTTTTCTACCCGGAAGACCACAGTGAGGACTCTGGGTATAATCTTTGATTATGCAATCTTTGATTGCATTTCATTTTTCAATTAAAATGCAGATATTTATTCTTTTTCTTAACAGAAGTTCTCCATCTCACTAATATTTATCAAGCGCTGCATAGATCCCTGAGTTTCATGGTAAAGTCTCTTGCCTACATGACACACCATGAAAGTGTTTAAAGAGGAGGGTCACCATATGTGAATAGTAATCAGTGGCGCGTGTGTTGCTGCTATTAACGACACTCTGTTGACACACTTGTAAACATAAAGTGTAAAGAAGATTTTACCGGCCGAGCAGAAAGAGCAGCCGCTGATTACAACCTGCGGAAGATAATGCTGTTTTTATTCCATGCTGCTCGTGTTGATAAGCTTTGTCGGGAGGATTGTGATATGAAACAAAGGATTGGGCTTTGAAACAATGTAGATCCACGTACCAGGCATGTTTTGCAAGCTCTGGGTTGAACTTTGACCTCTTGAATAATCCCTTTCACAGCCTGAACTTTTAAATTAGCCGTGTGACCCACAGCTCTCAGCTCATTACTTTGCTGATCACTTATCTGCCTCCAGTCTGACTCAACATTTTAGAGATTCCACACTTGTTTCCTTACTTCAAATTTCAAATTGGGATATAATATATATGATTTTATATTCCATTATACTAACTACAGAAGTAAAACTTGGTGGGAACACTATGCAGCAGCATCACTGACATTTCATTTTTTTTTCTTTCCAATAATCTGATGAAGAGACTCTTCTTAAATCCACGATTATATGTGCAATGGTTCAAACTTCTATCTCCCTCCTCCACACATACGGCCTAACAGCAACCCGCTTGGCAAAGCAAATGTAGACGGCAAGCAAAAACCAACAGAACTCGCTGGTGCTGGCCCTTTTTTTCTAACCCGCTCAGCTGTTAACTGTGTTCTTTGCCCTGCCATGCAAATGCATGTGGATCAAAGCGGGCGTGATAGGACGACGCCTATATGGGGCCTCTTCCCAAAACCAACAGAAGCTCCTACAATGCCCAGAGGTTTCCATGGTCTTCCTCCTTTTGTTGGAAGGGAGAAAAATCATGACCCCAGTCATTTCCTACAACTTTGTCAGCCCACTCATTAGTGAAACTCAAGCATGGCTCAAGTCAACAGCTAAATAGAAACTATCAACTATTAACCCAAGCTGCATTTGACCTTTTTTTTTATTGGAAATTTGTTATTTCAGAATGAGCCGCTTGAAATCCTCTGATTTGATTAAGGCCTGGAGGAAGATTGCAAAGCGTGTCTCAACCAAAAACCTGAGGGAGAAAGAATGACCTGAACATTCATGGTCTGTATGTGTGTATGTGTGTGTGTGTGTGTGTGTGTGTGTGTATGTGTGTGTGGGCCTTCCCCTCTGGCAATGGGCTATATGTCGACTACTGGAATGCTTTTATTTCAAACACACAACCACCGCTCCAAGGTATGGACATGCATTGACCTGAGTGTAGCGGTCACTCCAGTTCATACATGCAATCTAATTGATTGGATCAATACTAAACTCAGACTCCAATAAAGCAAGGCCCCGATTGGTTTGTCAGCTCAGCAGATGCAGTGCAGAGCTTTATATATTCACTCAGAGCTCTCAGTTTATTCTTCTGCCTGTCATTTAATAGAATTCTTTCCGTGTTGGTGGCAATTCTGCTTTTGGGTGTTTTCCCCAAATTTTACTGTAACCTTAAGGTAAGATTGATGAGAACAATATCACAACTATGGGACTATTTCAACATGTGTTCATGTTTAGTTTCAGGGTGGCTTTTGATTTTTACCTTTGGTGGAAAAGTGAGTCCCAAACAATGATTGATTAAATTATTGATAATGTAATTGATGGTCCCATTGTATTGAATTTACAATTGAATTCTTCATTATAATTTATGTAAAAATATTCCTCTTTTCCTCCCTGGAGACCCTTTCAAAATCTTTGTAACTAGACATTTTTGCAGGGGATAAGCACCCATTTGATGACTTTGACCAAGATGGATGCAGCATTGACCAAAATTTGGTGGACAGGAATTTCCAAAAGTTGACAGAAATTGTCCTAGCATCCACAGTTTTGATTGAGCAAAAGGAAAAATGCTTTGGTGAAATTTAAACTCATCTAAACTTCTGGACAGTGTAAGGAAGCCATAGAACTCGGAGTGAACCTACACAGACACAGGCAGAACATACACATTCCTGGGGACTCGTACCCAGAACCCTCTTGCTGTGAGGCGATGGTGCTAACCACCACACCACCGTGCCGCCCATTTTTAAAAATGTATTCAATTTTTTGTTTCAGGGATTCATTTTCAGGACGTCAACACTTTCTTAAAAATCTGTGTACTCTTTAATTAGCGTGTCCTCATGACACTGAGCTTTGGCAGGTCCTGCCCACTGCTGCTGTTTGGTGTTTTGTGTCACAGGTTATCGCGTTACCTGTGATGACGTTGATGTCGGGATAGGTGTTTTCACACAGCTCTACGGCGTGGCTGTCTCTCTCGAACGCCTCACGCAGCTCCTTCTTTACCGCCGCCGAGCCGCACAAACGGTAGAGTCCCACCACCTGGAACAACACACACACAAGCAGGGAGAAAATGTACAGTTATCACTCAGGTGGTTTTTACAACCCCTCTGATCAGGTTCTCTATCTGCAGCCCAATAATAACGTACTCCCAGACCCACACAGACACACGTCTGTTATATTTAATGACCGAGACATGGGGAATACTTATCTACTTCCTTATATAATTATGGTTATAACTCTTAATTCATTACTCCGGTGCACTCTGACAATTACCGTGCAATAGTTAGCAGTTTATTTCCCTTAATGTTATTTGCACTGTATTTAAGTTCATTTGTGTATTTTTTTGTGCAATTTTTGAAATCCTCAGTGATTTATCACATTTAACCTATTATTGTTTCACTTTCTACTTTCTTTACTGCAACTTAATGTATCTACTGGATTACCTATCTAGAGTTATCCATCTATATGCTATAAAGTATGATGGCATTGTAACAACCGCGATGGGATTTTAAAGGTAAATAGGAGAAAAACAAATGTCAAAAATTCCTCAGAGCTTAAGTCAAATCGACCGGTTTCCTACTTAACAATAATACTGTGCATGTGCGAGCAGCTTGCGGAAGCTGATTCTCATTGCTGCTGAATGAGCTGCAGCAGAGAGCCCTGTTTCCTGCAGGGCAGTGGATATTTGTTCTAACAGAAGTTGCATCAGTCAATACAGACCAGACAAAAGTTGGCAGTGGGTCTAAAAAGTTGTTGATGGTTAGCAACAAAAATCATAAAACTGGTTCTGGCTGTAAGGCTAAAAGCAAAGGGGAAATTTTACCAGTTTAGCTAAGAGTACACTAAGTCATTTTTAAGTGCCCCATGATGACTTTTGCTTTGAGTTACAAATTAAACTGTGTATTGCACACTTGCATAAAAGTAGGCAACACCTGACCGGTAAGCTTTGCGGAGCGGGTGTCCTTAAAAAAACTATGTTTACTGTTGATAGACTGATTGATAGAAGCACAGCGTAACTTAGATAAATCAAGAGTCAATAAATGACTAAATGTGAGGCCTTGTTTAAATTTAATATAGAACTAAAATCATGAGGTGTCTCTGTGCTTCAGAAAAGTTCAACAGGCCTTTATATATTCTAAGACGATTCCTCTCTGTACAGGAAAGCTAAAACCAATCAAACCATTATAAAAAAGTGTCACATGGCCAACAAACTCTCAGTGATGTGAGTTAGACAATCCCATCTCTCTGAGCTGCTGGAGTATAATCTTACAGTATGAGTGGGGTGTTTAAAAGCTGAGAAATGTTAAGATTTCCCTCGAAGCAGTAAATACAACAATGGCTTGGAAAGTTGGATGAGTGCGTTTTCATGAAAATATTTTAAAAATGTTCTCAGATGTCTGATAAAAGTGTCCCATCTTACACTGGAGTGGATAAACACCAACCCCCTAGAAGAGCCCAGGTGATGTTAATACCGAGAGCTGTAAACCCTTTGTGCTTTTCTACCTAAGCCTGCAGAGTGTGACCTCAAGGAACTCAAGACATTCTGCTAGTGAGACTCAGCACTGCTGCTCTCCTTGTTGTGTTGGGATTAGGCCTGGCTTCAGACATACCATAATTTCTCCTACATGTGTCTGTCTGGTATGTGGCATAGCAGACCAACTGGTGTGGTTTCCCTGGTAACGTGTTAAGTCAGTGGGCTGTGAATGGCGGGTTTGGTCCGGTTCCACACGGACGGACACACACTGGGGCGCGCACACACCGCCGGCCTTTCCGGGCTCCAGCGTAGGAGCACTGTAATGTCTCCCCCTCGTCCAACCGGACCCACTGTTGTTGTGAGCGCCACTTGTCCAGCTGAGCGGCATTTTCTGAGTCTCACATGAGGGAGAGAGTAAGACAGATTAAGCTGGGATTTGGCTTTGTGTGCGAGTAAACAGAAGTCACTGGACACAATGAACAACAAGTCCATTCAGAAAAAAAGAAGCAGTCTCTCTGGCTTTGAGAGGGAGCTGAGTGCAGGCGGGGAACAGCTGTTAGCAAAAAGAGGGCTTGCACTTATGCACTGCGGCTGCCGGGCAACACAACGGGCTGCACCAGCCAAGGCCTATTTGTGGCATAAAGCAGGCACAATGACCTCCCCACAAAATGAGCTGGACTGGAAAGTAGATGCTACTAAATGATGCGATGTGTTTCCCCCTGCTCTGAGGTCACAGAAACAAAAGAAGAGAAACGAAATAAAGGAAAGTGGCAGTGAGCATTTGCCATTAGAAAATAAATGTTTGCTCACCATCTTAACAAAAAGGTGCTTCCTGACAGATGTAGAGCTCATTACACTTAGTACATGTCCCCGTGGTGTCTGGCTCAGCTTACTTACAACTTTCAACTTGACCACGATGGCTCAAGTTTATGGTAAGTCAAGGTATGGATAGCCTGTTTTCATTTCCCTCTTAATCAAGGCGCCAAGACATTCAGCTGAGGGACGTAGGAGATCATGACTTGCATTGAATTACAGCTTATAGAGAGCCAATATCCTTTTTTCAAATCCATCAAAGATGCATCCTGTTTGTGAGCAGGTGACACACTATTGTTATCATATTTCTTTCACAAACTTCAAGGTATTCAGCTTTAACACCACAACTCTGTCAGACTTTGTGTCAGATGCCACATCTCCAAGTACTGCAGCATTATTTGGAGCGGCCGCATTTAGCTTGAAGAAAAATCACAGACAGTAGGCATCAAAATCACCTATTCAAAAGTCAGAACAGGGCTCAAGTCAAAAAGCCTGCAAAAAACACACTAAGCCTGTTCTCTCTGCCTCTGTGCAGTCGTTTACGACAAATACAAATAACTTAAGACACCGGTATTTCTTCTTTTTGGAAATAAGTGCCGCCATACCTAACTCCAGTCTGACACAGACATCGTCTGCTGCCTTTTCAACAAACCCACAATCACCCAGCGTCTTAAAAGCTCGGAATAGCCCCGGGGACACGCGATTCTCTGAGACTTTAAAAGCCAGCCTCCATAAAAGATCCACATCGTGCATCCATACACTGCAACACGCCTGGCCTTGTACGGCCTGGTCGAACAACCTGCAAATTACTCCTGGATCTGGCGGTGACCCCATCCCAAACCCCGTCTGCCGGTTACTCGGAGCAACTTGATCTGAGACTGATAAGAACGTCTATAAAAAGGCTGCGAAACGGAGAGAGTGAAGGATTAGAAAAATGCTGGCAGGGACAGCCGACAAACATCACAAGCCGCGGGGAGCGGGAGAGAAACAAAGATCAGAGTGCAAACAACAGGAGGGTTACATAAAGACAGGGAAAACTGAGCTGAACAGAATTACAGAAAGCTACCGACATGACTGCTATGAATCTGTTTGGTAAAGTAGTCAGGAGCAGGTTTCTTTCAAAGTCTACATGTAGAAATGTATTTCATTGATTGATGCTTGAATCCTGACAGCAGACTTTAACATGAGAGCTCCGACCTGCCTGGTGTGTGCTCTTCTTCTGCTCCTGTTTTGTTGCTCGGCCGGTCTGTTATCACTCAGAACCGGACAGGAGGCACGGGGAGGGCCTTATTAGACCGACAGCTTCTTTTGAGAGGCCTGATCTATGTCTTCTGGCCAGAGGGGGCTGACCGCTGCTGGCCAAAAGCACCCTTCGCTACACCCGACCCAAAAGGAATCAGTCAAAAACACGGCTCAAATACTTTTACAGCCGCTGTCTCAGTTGTAATTAGGAGGAATGCAGCTCGCGCTCACTCCATTTCAGCACCGGGCTCCACACAAAGGAGACAAAACAGGAGATGAAAACATGATCCACGAGGGCAACTCACTCCGCTGTCGTTCATGCCACATCAGTCTCTTAACTCCTCTGTCTTTCACGTCTACGAATACAAGAGCCGGTCGCCTCAAGGATGGAAGAAACTCAGTGACATCATGAGCATCGCTACCATCCATTCAGCTAAACAGGGTTCATCATTACTGGCTGCAGGGGCAGCCGTCTCTCAAGGCACACAATACCAACAGGAGGCAGAGGGAGTGGGATTATTTCTTTAAATATTCTTTTTTTTCTTCCCTAATAGAAAGATGATTATATAACCGTTTCCTCCTATCTCCTTTTCAATCTCAAGAAAAAGGGTTAGAGCGGGTGTCGTTTTTAGGCTGTACAAAATAAGATGGATTTAAATCACTCTCTGTTTGAGTAGTGTTTTGAGGATTTGTGATTATCATTTAGTCCTGATATTCTTCGGTTTTAGGAACCACGCAAAACATGCAAAAGATAGAAATGAGCTACACATCCACGTTGCCATGGCGCTTGTCTGTCTATCCACTGTCTCTGCCTTACTGTGATTTAAGGGAGCAAGGCTCAAAAGAGAAATCTCTATTCAAATTAATCAAGTTTTAGTGCAGTGGTTTTATTTTGCTTTCATACCCGGACATCCACGGCAGCATTTGGCCGTCTGTCCACAAGAAACCACTAGAATATGCAAAAAACAACATCCAAAGTCGTGAGCTTCGGGGACGCACTCACCTGGCAGCCCCTCTTCTCGATCTCGTTGATGCACTTGTTGATGAGCAGCGGGACCATCATGCCCGTGCCCTCCCGCTCCACCACGCGCCACGCCTCCACGCCGAACACCTGCGGCTCGCGCCCCGCGTCCGGCCCGCCGTCCAGCGAGTTCTGCCACTGCTCCATCAGGCTCAGCTTGACGTAGATGAGCCCGCGCGGCTCCAGCTTGACGGCCAGCTGGTGGGAGCGGATGACCCGGAAGAGCGTGGGCAGCAGCACGGTGCCGTGGCAGCACACGCGGGTGCGCTTGGGCGTGGGCTCCCAGCTGAACACCACCAGCTTCAGGTGCTGCGCGTTCTCCAGCTCGATGTTGAAGGTGTGGTCCATGTCCAGGAAGCTGGTCCGACACGTGAGGAGGGCGGTCCGGGCCTTGTTGACCGAGTCCACCTGGATGGCGCAGTACACGTCGCGGGAGTCCACGCGCGGGGGCTTGAGGTCCTCGGCGCCGTAGAAATGGAGACTCATGAGTCCGGAGATGTACTGGCTGCACTTGGGCTGCTCCGTGAAGCTGTAGTGGCGGAAGGCGTCGATGTCCAGCTCCGTGCCGTTGAGCCTGGAGCCCGCCGGCCCTCCCTCCGGGTCCTTGCCCTTGGCCCCCTTCCCGTCCGCCGAGCCGTGCTTCCCGGATTTGGCCACCAGCTCCGGCGAGTCGCCGTCGCTGAGGTAGCCGCCTTTGCTGGCCGACTTGGAGCCGCCGGCGCTCTTCTTCTTGTTGAAGCTGTGCTGCGTGGACACGCTGCTGTCCAGGTGGTAGCGGGAAATCACGTTACGGCTGGCCTGCCCGCCCCCCCCCGACGGAGCTAGCGGAGGGTCACCGCCACCACCGCTGACCCGGGGGGAGTGGGCCCTGGGCTCCGCCTGGCCCCCCCCACCGCCGCTGCTGTTGAGGCTCTGGGTCCCTTTGACGCTGAGTTTCCGACTGAGCTCGGGGAGCTTCTTCATCTTCATGGAGATCTTCCGAACGGTGCGTGGAGACTTGATCTTGTCGGGGAAGGACCAGTTGATGGAGCCGCTCTTCTTGGCGGGGTTAGGGCTGGAGGGGGGGGAGAAGCGGACAGCATTGGGGAGGTCACAACCATCTAGAAGGAAAAGAACAGGAACAAACAGACTTGATTAAATTAGGATTCGGTCATGTTTTCATTTAAGCTTTTCCTCTCATTTCCAGCTTTCTGCCAGCCAGAGCTTTTTAATGTCAACATAATCAATGTTTTTAAAGACACCCTCTGCTGCCCTTCTTTGATAGGAGGGTTGGACGGGATGTCCAGACGGACAGGAAAAAGGCGATTAAAGCCACAAGAAAGGCTTGCAGGAGCCATAATTTAAAGGTCTCTCAGGAAGGTTTCACGTCTTCATGGCCTATTCAGCAGTGATTTAGTTTGCATACAACCCAGTAATCCCACGACACATATATTATGTTGGCACTGCTTTGTATAAACACCTCAGCAACATATAATATAGACTTTATATGTAAACGCAGACTGCATTTAGGATAATTAACAGCTCAAAGGAAAAGGGTTTGAGATGAGAAAAGTGTTCTCTTTGCTTAAGGTTTTCCTCTATGTAAAAAAAAAAAGTTATCCTCTTTTCTATTTTGTTTTTCATATGTGGATACCTCACAGCACTAGTCATGAGAGATGTAGGCAGGAAAGTATAACTCAGTAGGAAGACTGTGTTTCTTTAATTGGGCAAGACGCTAAAGAAAATACTGTTTTCTTTAGTTTAGGGCGGCGTAGTTACTCACATGATTAGTGTATTGAGTACCTCTATTGCTTTTGCATCCTCTATTTCAGCTGTAAATGTACAGCTTTAGGTGCACTACTGACTTTTGCATTAAAAAAAAAATTGTTTAGAAACTGTGACTTTATCCAAGGGAAGAAAGATTTTAGCCGTAGATAAAAATCTGTAGAAGGAGCCTGACCCTGTCAACATTACCAGCTATTTTCAGAAGGGACCTGCTGTGCTATTCTGGGCTGAGGGTCTGGAGAGTGAAAAGACGATGGTGCAACAGGATGGAGAGAAGGGTGCGATGGGGGACAGGATCAGGGCAGGGTGTAGCCAAGAGATGAGGGACAAAGGCAGTCCTTATACAGGCACTTGAGAGGTCTGGCTGGCCGGCTGGAAGGCTGGCAAGCCGGCTGGTGAATGTACAAATGAACACGGCTGTTCTCTCACATTCCTCATCAAACCATGTTTGGTTCCCTTTTAGTCAAGCTGAGTGGCCTTCCCTGTCATGGCTTCCTGCCAGTAATAGACACAGAGGCGCTATGTAAAAGAGAGAAAATGGGTGGAGGGCAATAGAGGAGCAAATTTACCAAATAACATCTGGGGCGGGTTTGGGTACACAGAGACCAGATTCTTGGGAATACACACAACACAGCTAACTCATTATGAGGTCTCGGGGAGAAATGACTGGAACCATGAAGCAGAAACATGAAAAACATCAAAAAAAGTGCAAATAACTAGAGGGGGGTCATTTACAGTAACACTGTTAAACTAAAACCTGAAAAATAGAACAAAGCAGGTCTATCATTCATTAACTCTGTATAATGCTATCATCTTGTGATTTATGATCCTGTGATCCCATTTTGCAAATCACAGGAACCATTAAACAGTGTTTCTTGTATGCGATAAAGGATCGTTTTATAAATGGCTTGTCATTGTTTGACACTGTGCCAAAACAAATTAGTTTATGAAAACAATAAATTAAATTGCACCATAAATTAGACTGTATGTTGAATCATAATAATATCTCAAATATGCTTTACCGTTTTTGTTTAATTTAAAAGTAGGCTAAGCTAACAAATCAGGACATAAGCAACTGTTTTTATTTGTTTCTTAAGTGCGAGACAGGCGGGCACAAAGTTAAGAAAGTCCTTGAAAATAACAGATTTTCAATAACTCTTGTTCCACCATTAGGAGGAGCAGATTTCTGAGAGACTCAACTGTATTGTATAAAAAACATGTTCCAGTAAACCAGCCTAAACCATTTGTCCAAATCTACTTATATCTCTTAATACTGCACCATGCCATTATATTTTCATATTTACAAGTTTATTAAACTTTTCTTTCCATTTGCTGGAGTTCCTAAAACACGGTAACATCCACCAGCCCTCTGTGTTAGATCTGTCTCTGACAAAGTTAATGACTTGCATTGTTAATGACTGGCTCCACACACACATGTGTACAGGAGTGGGGGTCCTCTGTAGCCTTTGGCCTTGTGGCAGCAGCCAGAGGAGTAACACGACACCTCCCAAGCTGAGGTACAGGGGCGGTGGTTTGACACCCAAGCCTCCAGGGCCATGTTCCGGGGTCAGAAGGGCAAAAGGTCTGCATTCCGTTGGGTGACACCTGAGACTGGTTAATGCGTCCACCCCCAACACTTTGACTTGCACGTGCACACACCATATTACTGTTACACAAAGCCAGGTTGGGTGTAAATATGCCCCCATGAAAAAGAACATACAGGGCCCCCCCCCCCACTTACTCTGCCACCCCCTCAGGCACCCGGCCACTGACAACTCCTAACAAAGTGCAGGAATTTATGACGCTGTCTTTTCGAAGTGCTGGCACCAGACAGGTGCAGGGTGAGGGTGTGTATGTCTGTGCACGTGAGCCACCAACCGGTCCCTATCAATTATTTGTTCCAATGACCTCCTATCGGGCAACAAATAGCTCCTTTAACCAACACCCAGATGTTAATAATAGCTGAATGATCTGAGCTGTCAATCGATAAAACAGATATTAGGCGCCTCCTCCTCAAGAATGTGAGAGTGTGTGTCTGGGGTGGGTGTGAGAGACCGAAAACGGTTGAGCAAACCCTGATAAGCCTTGGGAGGGAGACAATAATCGGCTGTTACTGATTGGCCCTCTTAAATCCACTTGTATTCACTTGCATGTCTGTGTACACACGAGCATGTTGGACAAATGTGTGTTTAATGTAGAAACAGAAAGGACCGGGGTGTGCTGACAAACAAGGGGAGTGTAAATAAAAGTGTGAATGGCATGCTTGTCCTGTAGTTTCACTCCGTGAACTGAACCAGCCTTAGGCCGCAGGGTCTCCAGCGAGTTTTAATCACTTAATGCAAAGGCCTTCAGGGACCGCGGGAGCCTGGTCATTGCAGTACAATGGCTACAAAACCCCGGCTAATACATCTAAGAATGGAGTCCTTCTCTCTAGCATAACATGGCCTCCTGCCAAAGAGCTCCTCATGAAGCCTACGTCTCGTACTGCTGCTGGCATTTCTGCCCTGCTGTAGCTCCACCAACAGAGTAGCTGCTAGCTCTGGTCCTCCAGCTGCCACAAAGGCCCTGATATACTGTCATGATCCAAATTACTCATAAAAAAGGATCTTAATAATAATATGAAGGAAAAGAACCACGAAAAGCTTATCAAATGTACTGGAAGCTGCTTGATAAAACAGCATGAAAATCAATTCGACCAATCAATTCAAAATGACCACCGAAATTGTTCTGTTTTTCAGCTCCTCGGTCGATCAGAATGAACATTTGTTAAACTGGGAGAGAGATTCTCACTGCACAGTCAGGGATGGTACGGCCACAGGACATTCAGTCACATCCAGGTGCTGATATGTGAGACTGAGATCTGCAGGTCAGGCTGGAATTAGCTTTCTAATCAGCGGCTGCACACGTTGGGAGGTGATGCTGTCTGCCCTCATGTCGGCTCTCAGAGGCTCCACAGTCCTGCGCACCACAGGACTTTCACCTCTTCTTGGCTAGGGCTTTTCTGAGTGAAGTTTGCATGTTCCATCCTGTGGATGCATGCGTTTTCTGCGGTTCCTACATCTTTCTCTCACAAGTTAAAAAACAAAGCAATCGATCTGGTTCAACAGATAATTTGTCTCCTGTAAAAGTGCTGGTGACGTGTCCGCTGTGCAGATAGTAGATAGCCTTGAAATCTCAATTTTTCTGAAAAAGTTAGCATATCTTATCATTTTAATGTATTACAATGTCATAGCAATATCATATACAAATATACGTTTTCATTCATTTGAAATATCATTAAAAATGCCTAAGGTGAAAAACCCACTGTGTTGTTTCCAGAAAGAAGTTTTTCTCATATTTTATATTTAAGTCATATTTAAGTTGCAGGAAAACCTGATATTATGCCACCCAACATGGGATAACTGACAGGTGTAAAATGAGACTGGTAATACATTTATAACTTGTAATTGTATAAATGGTTAAGTTCTACTCGGCTTTCGACAGCTGGTGAAAAATCACCATGTGAAAAACGATGTGACCTGAACTTTAACGTCAAGTTGAGGAATCTCTTTGGACATGAAGTGCTGCTCACACAGTGCTGCTGCTATGAGTTGTTGACTTCCTCAAGACTCAACCATGCAATCATCATCCAAGATTAGGTTCCAGGTTTGAACTCAGAAACTTGAACTCCCTGTAACTTTATCACCCCGGGCCAATTCTCATACGCTGCAGCCACTGTCATCAAAACAACTCCCAGAAATAGCTCTTATCCCGTGTTGAGCGCTGGCCAAGTCAGATTCCCCCAAAAAGCCTCCAAAGGAACAACAGATTGGGAGCACACTGCTGAGATCACCACCCCCAAAGTCCATCAATCATTATAGTCCATACAAATAGAGCATTCAGATGGACAAAAAGTCAGTCAATAGGCAGCACACGAGGAGTCTGGAGTGTATCCGGTGAGCAAAAGAAAGCAGCCAGCCGGACAGAGGAAAACTATAGTCATAGAGAGTCATCTACATCTACACTGCTTCATTAATTCAGCAGATGCTCCTATTTATGGTCAGTCAATGATGAGCCTGTTCAATTTTGAATTCCACAGATAAAATGGTTCTCATTTTTATGGAGAACCAGAGGCAAGACAGAAAAGAAGGAATGAGGTTAGCGGAATGCAATGCTCTGGCTGCACTCTTTGTTTTAAGGACTTTTCCGAAGCCTGAATCCAAAGCCATCACTCCTCAGGCACAGTGGTGAAAAGGAGAGGCCAGTTAAAGGCCCTCCCAACAACCTGATGCTGAGAGGACACAGCTCGCTGCAGGTTTAAGCAAGGCTGCTGACAACAAACCCATCGGAAGTCTGGTTTAATACACAGCCATTACAATTTATTACGCACTTATGCGGAAGCAGTGCGCTTTTTGTGTTTTTAATCCAAAAACATAGTCAGAAATAAGACAACCAAACTTGGAGCACTGGTGAGATATTTTGAAGGGACTATTTAATATGCTGGTATTTGCTTTTCCCCCTCTACTGACTGCACAGTAAGTACAAAACATGTTTTTGATAGCTGGAAATGGAAAAAGACAGTCTGTGTTTCAGAAAGAAATGTTAAAAATATCTGTAAAGATAGTTGTTCCAACCATTTCCACTTGATCTAACACCCAGTTGGCCAGTTTCATATTACTGGGTGGAAATGAGTTTTGTCAATCTTGATTCAAGTAGGTCAAAATGTAATAATCAATTTAAGTAATCAATGCTTCTTTAAAAAATAAATAAATAAGGAAAGGCGTTGGCTCTCCCACAGAGACACAATGTCCAGTAGGAAAATTAAATAAACTCCCTGAAACCACAACAATTACATTGTTTTAAAAAAAGTCAATAAAAACTTGACTGCTGTTTCGAACACAACACAATCAAATCTTATCTTAAAATCCATGAATCAATGTTTTAGTTTTTATCTGAAACAGAGCAAATAGTTAAATTCAGCCAAAAAGCCTTGTTAGTGGAATTGAAAGATGGGCCAGTGCGACTGCAGTGACCGCACACAGCAGGTTGTTGTCCTATTCATTGCTGCTGACCATCCCCCAACACTCCCCACCAGTCCAGAGGAGTGTGGCTCTGCAGACTGCACAGACCCTGTTAACAGCAGCCCCACTGCACACTCTGGATTCTGCAGGTGGAGGTGGATTCCAGCTAAATCTGAAGGCAACATTGTAGCTACAGTGGCCTCTGCTCATCCCTTTTTCTCCAAATAACCGATAACGAGTGTTGATGACACGTAGCCGGGGCCAGTTTCTCTCTTTCTCTCTCTCTCTCTATTTTTTTTTTGGTTGGTGCAGTGGAGTGTGGGATGGCGTCACCAAACCCACGAGAATCAATTGCAAAGTCAACATACAGCAGGGAGGGAGGCAGTTCCGGAGCAGGAGGGAGCAGGATTTCACAGCACAGAGCTACACTATCCTAGTTCTGCTGCTGAAAGCCCACAGATTTCCACTACAGGACACTAATGAATGAATTACAAGTGAAGTGAGCACACAACTGATGAAAAAGAAAAGTTTATTATCAGAATAGCTGAGAAAAAAAGTGCCTCTATCTAAACCCTGCTGAAAAAGCCACTCTAGCAAGCAGTCATGTGCTTACCCAGCAGGAATTGAACCCATGATAGCAGCACACTTCATCCGGACAGCTAAATAGGTTTGTAGCCTCTCACATAGAACACCTAGAAATAGCGTGAATTTAATTAGCTCAGTGCTGCGTGATTAGTGCCTTTCCTGGGCCGGTACAATGAGACTCATTGGTGACAGGTTTAATCCTAATCCCACGCTGAAAAAAGCTGTTTTATCAAGCCGTGAGTCAGGAGTCTGAAGCCAGTCAATGAGAGGAAAAGGTTTATCAGCCAATCAAAACACGGTATTTTGAGAGCAATCGAACACCTTCTCATTAAAACTATCCACAATGATTTAACCTCACACAATTATTCTAAAACATGGAAAAAATAGCAATTTCAATAGCAGTTTCAAGCCTGAGGTCTCCATTGCTGTCTTCTGAACTCTTGGAGCCTGAAGCCCCTCGGCTGAAAAGCTCGTTTCAAGCCCACATAACGGCTCAAAAATTAGCCAAAGCATTCGGCCGGGCTCTGTGCTCACACAACTTGCATTTGCCGTTGCGTGCTACAGAAAAGTGTGGTAATTACAGGCTCATCTCGAGATGTGGCCAAAATGGCTCAAACTACCATGTTGCCACATCACAGGACAAAAGGTCGGAAGTTTGGAGAAAAACATTTAAAAAAAAGGCCAAGCCTCCTAAGAGATAGGCAGGCGTGTGCTGGCTGTCATCAGTCTGTCGTCGCTATCAGACATTCGAGTAAATAAGAAGCACAGAAAGGGAAATGATAGCTTTGCAGTTGATGTCAGTGATTTCTGGTTGAACTCTACAGATCAGACATCTGTTGTTGTTTCAAGCAACTTCTGTCCTGCTTTAACGGGCCTAAAGACGGAGGGCTTCTAGCTCCGTTTGGAAAACCCTGAAGGTAAACTCATTGGCAGCGATCGCAGTCTTTTGTACGAAGCCGAAGCTACGTGTAAATGATATTCTTCCCTCTCAGGGATGCCACTTCAGAATCGCTTCAGTCTAGTCCCCGTCTGAGTCGAGCTGATGAGGACACTGATATGGAGGGATATGATTAGACGGGCGTGGCTCCTGTCTGCTCTGATTAAAAACGACAGGAGAGTTTGTTTAAAGATTTGTTGAATATCACCTGCAGGTTTACAGATCATCCACTGGATCATCTATTCTGCTTTATTACATGTTTATATGTATAAATATATACATTCATTTTATCATATATCTTTCAATCCTTGAAGACCAAAGTGATATAAGGAACGTTTAGTGGGACAAAGACGTACAACATGTGGAATACAGTTGAGAACTTACTGTACTTGACTCAGCTGAAGGGAAACTCTTAAGGCTTATAAAACAGTTATATTGGAGGGTGGAGCTAAATCTCAATGGAAACTTTGTCAACACTGGCGTTCAAGCTGTGACCACAAAAATCAACTCAGAGTGACTGACATAGACTAGCAATCAGCGGTTCAATTAACAGAAGTGAAAAAACGAATGACAACGTTTTTTTTCCCCCTTACCTGCCGGTTTGCTCGTGGAAGGGCCCGCCTCTTCCTGAGGTTTGCACGCCAGCATTTGTCTGTGCAGATGCGGTGCCTCTGTGGAATGTGCAGCATTCCCCTGACTCCCGTCCGCCGAACCGCCGCAGAGGTTTTCCGCGGGGGCGTCCGGCCCACTTCCGCCGGATCCTTCCCGGGGCCTGCCGGCCTGGCCCACGACCCCCGCTCGGCTGGGCCTCCTCTGAGGCTCCGGCCGAGGCGGGACGGCCAGCCGGACGGAGGGCCGGCGGGAAGGCTCCGGCTCGTCGTCCTCTGGGATGGGGTTGTACCAGATCTCTCCCTCGTCGTCCGCGTCGTTCTCTTCGGCCGGGTCCATGCTCCGGGGATGGGGGGAGACCTTCATCAGACCAATGCTGACCTAAAACAAGAGCATGTTCAAAGGAAAGGTGTCAGGCTTTATCCGGTGTTGGTCAAAGCTACTCAGGCCTTATAGTCATTCAAAAGTTAGCGTTCCTTTAAGCTAACCTGAGGCAACTGCAGGCGGACTGGCCGTGTGGGAGCCCCCCCGGCGGGCCTGAGGTGGTCCGGTGAGGGACTGGGAGGAGGAGGTGTTTGATAGGGGCACGGGCCCCCCTCCTCCTCAGCTCCCAGCATCTCCTCCCTGGCGCAGTGATTCCTGGCCTGGGAGCTCTGCTGCAGCCAGTTGCGCTTCTTGGAGACGGTGATGGTGGTGATCTGCGGCCTCCATGACGAAGGCTCGCTCAACCTGCCCGCCTCTCGGCCGTTGGCATTCTCAATGAAAGCTGGAGGTGCAGTGGAGAGAAAGGCACCGTGAGTTCCAGCCGTACGGAAAGCAAAACTGGCGCAAAGAGAGAAGCCAGTCGTCACGTTGGGCATCATGATTTAAGTCACCACTGATGGGAAATTAATTACGAGAGCAGGTGTTCGATCTCAGGCCGCTCGTATCGTGACAAGTTGAAGAAAACATCTGTATCGAGAAACCACGAGCACGGAAGTCATGAAAAGGTATTTTGCGCCAACAAGTTTTCCCTTTTAAATCTGTTTTCCCTCTCAGCTGTCTTGCAAAGTCACCAAAAAAAACTTGTCTCAGCATTGCCTTATTCGGCTAATGCTTCTTTTATTAACTTTGGACGGACATCATCGTCTAGCTGATAAATCACATTTACCACAACTGCCTCCGGCCCTTTTTTCCCCCTTTCACCTCAGCGACTTCACGTCAGTGTCAGGAACATGTGGGCTCCAAATTCAAAGGGAAGGCTGAGGGTTTTAGCCCAAATATCTTCCATTTAAACAGCTTTTTTTCTTTTAAAGAAATCTATTAAACTACTCACAATAAAACTGAGGAGATGAATAAGAAAATGGAGACTGATTGGTGCAGCCAGAGACGAAAGAGGCCAAGTAAAAGGAATAGTGACACATACCGTCCCTTCATGTGCAAAAGAGAAGCACAAATTAAATGTTACTTTGATTAGATAGTAAGAAATTCCAAGGATTGGGATAGGAGATAAGGAGAGATAAAATCAGCCGTGTCAGTGTGTGCGGCAGGCCTGCTCAAACTTGTACCGACTGTTTTGATCCCCACCAGCTTTCAGACGAGCCCCTCCGCATGCTTTAATGACAACTTCTCCTCGCCTTGAGGAAACACATTTTCACACATTAGACCTTCCAGCAAATTACAGACATGGGGATATTTTCCCTTTACCAAAGAAAAAAAAAATCGACATTAGACACAAGTGTTCTAGTATGTACACGCGAGTGACTGTGCAGTGAAAAAAAAAAGTGTGAGCGAAGCTAAATAAACCTTAAGGTTTAGCAAAGAGGTCTAAGAGAGCTAGGGTAAAGATTTACAGAAGTTTGATATTGAGGCCATTTCTTTTCTACTTGGTTGCTCTTAATGACAAAAGTCTGAAAATAACACAAGGACTTACAGCTTTCCTGTGGTCTTAAACATAAATCTTTTAAAATCAACATTTGTCTTTTTAACCTAGAGTATTTTGTTTTTCCAGGAACAACCACTCTCGCTATGATTACAATACTATGTTTTATTAATCTGATTCTCTACAAAGATTCTTTTACAAAAAAATCTGCTTTCGGCTGTGAGAAAAACACCTTCCTAATCTGAACGGTTCAAAAACAGCCAGGCTCCCCTGTCAGCTGCTTTGAGCTGGATAATAACTGCAAACTTGACAGGACGTCAACGCTTTTGGACTTCTCTGTTTGGTTTAATTTACAGAGGATTTCCAGTCAGAATCATGTTTGCCTGACCTGAACACAGGCATGTGTGCATTAGCCGGGATTAGAGGCGTTTGAGGGCCTGGAGCTCAGGAGTTTTTGATATGTTCCATTTGCAAAGAGAAAGCAGAAACCTACAGCATTTCTGGTGGTTTCTGGAGTCACTTGAGTTACTGTGTGGGCTGGAGCTTCCAGGCTGTAATCATCTGCTATGGTTTGTTTTTATCTGTACTGGCCTGGCTGCTCCGAGTTAGTCCTTCAACAATGAATGAGCTGTTTCTTTCCTTAAATCACAAGGAGGTACTAAAGGAAGTATACCCCAAGGGAACATATGTACCATTTATATAAATGTCCAAAAGAGAGTAACTTTATAAAGTAAATGTAACACAAGCAACAGAAGTCTGGTTATTCAAAAACTGTCTGAGGATGGTTGAGAACGCAATAACAAATAAAGCGACATATCGAATACCTCCTCCATTGATGAAAAATCTGGGAAAAGGTACTAAGTGCATAAATAAATAAATCCCAAAAGTGTAGAGCCGTAACACACAAGTAAAGAAGGAGAGATAGCGGCGTGTGGAGCTGATGTCAATGTGCCGTCTTCTGGAAGGGGTCTTTCATAACTGGAAAAGGAAGCGTGTTCTGGCATGAACAGCATTCCAGACCACAGCTCCACATTTACAGCCTCACTGCCGTCTCCCTCCACTGTCACTCCCCCCAGAGCAGCAGCAGGCTCCCAAACAAACATCATGCCCCCAGTCGGCCTGAAACAACACATTTTCAGCCTTCTTTTCCATCAAATATCAGTTCATTTATGCTCCTCTGCAGCTATTCATTTTGAAAAAGCAGATACTGAAGCTGATGAAAAAAGAACAAACCTAGTACATTTTTTGTCTGGTTTCCTTTTTTAAAGATTTTATGAGAAAAATAAAGTGTTGGAAGAAATATGTAGCTGATACTCAGAGTCTCAAAAGGAAAAAGCCAAATAGAGCTCTATGAAATGAATACTGATGGATAGTGTCCGAAACTACTCAGTTTTGGACACCAATCGCTTATTTTTGTAAATGTCACCAGATTTTATGTTACAGGTTACGCAAGGGGTTTTGGGAACTGATTCATTTTCCTGTATTTCAAAATAAGTATTTTAAAACTGAACATTCGGATGATTTTCAGATTGCGCCATTGTTTTAGTGCTATGTTTTAGCTGTTTGTCTTATACTTTAGTAAGTGGCCTTTATTCAAATGGATTCCACTTGGATTTTGTCTCATTAAACAAATAAAGCATCAAAGTTAGGTTAGAAAAAAAATCACCTTTCTTCTGATAGGTTTAGTGTGAAAAACTCATGGAATTTGACGATATAAAAATGTATATAAATCTAAACCCAAAGTAGAGGAGGACATATCCCAGCTGGAGTCCACACAGTCTGTCTGCCTGTATCACAATGGTGTGAAGACCGGGTTCGGACAGCTCACACCCCTGATCTGATGCTAACAGATGGTCAGGCTCCCCATCTTTGTCTTAAAACTGATGGAGGAGGACAGAAAGTTAGAGGTGGTAACGCCACAGTGAGGAGTGCCATCGAGGAAAAAAAAGGAAAGGTGTGAACCTGCGCCATGTGAGCCTGACGGTTAATTCAGCTGCATTCATTTCTAAATCCTGTGAGTAGCTGAACCGTTTGCTCCTCTAAAACAACAGGCTCAATCCACTTTCCCATAGGCTTTTAATTTCTCTCCTGAATTCCCTTTCATTAGCAGAGGCTCCTCTTTTGATAGGAGCAAAACACACACCAGCCAGTTTTCTCCACCGTACAGACACAACTTTGTTGTGTATACAGAGGTTGTGAGTCCCCCTCAGAGAGAATCTTTTGCTGTGTGCCATACATCCCCATTGAGGCTCATTCATATGCTAATGAGCATTCTCAGTGTAGATTTTTCTCTTTACACCGGGGCTGGGATGGGATCGCTCGGGGTTACATCACATGTCAACACTTGCATCCCACTGAGGCATCCTGGCAGCTCTGGCTATAATGTTAGCAACACTTCTTCCTCAAAATTTTGGCTTGACACCCAAATTCTTTTTTGTGTTGCAGCGTGTGTCAGTTTAAAATAGATTTTTTAGAAAAAAGGCACAACTAACAGACTAATTAGACCTTTAACAATGTGAATGAAATAAGAGTAACTGAAAATGCTTATACCTAAAAATGGCCAACTGATACTGCTCAGTATTAATCAGCAGCATTCTAGTATTTGACTCATACATCTTGCAAAATCATCCTAGTAAATGCCTCAAGTTTCTTATTTATCACCTGATACGCCTTTGGAGTGACATCCTCCATAAATCTGTCCAGAAATACGCACGCAAGACAAGACAAATCACTGCTCCTCCACCCTCAGTTATGTTTAGGTGAATTAGGAAGAATTTAAAAAAATAAATGAAAAACAAAGAAACAAAAACTCAGCAGCTAGGTTACCAGGTCTTTGGCAGAGAGCAGAAACCAGATGCCACAGCATTTCATAACAGTGTCGAGGTATCAAACTGCACCTGCACTCGCCAATCAGGCTGGAATTCACTAAATCAGCAAATCGGCCAGAATGAATGCTGTCAAAAAAGTAGCGGACTGTTGTGTAAACTTAACCCGTGTCATGCTGAGCTTTTCTGTACAGGACTGGTTCCACAGTTGGGACAATACGTTTGGGTGAAATCAGACTCTCCATAAAAGAAATGACGCTAAAAACATTGAATCAAAGATGCTCTGATTGTCTCTCATTTGAAAGGATTGAGCTTTTCCAAACCTAAAAAGGAAAAGACTTCCTTATCTTTGAGAAGTTGCTCGTAAATGCCTCATCGGTGTGGATCACCCAATTTCCTGGAACTATGGCTCAGCCACAATACAAACACACAACTCCTGAATTCATGACACCTGCGTAATGCATGCATGCTGCTCCGGTACACCGAAACACAACAAAACTCCAAAATTCCTCTACCTGCAAATACAAACACGCACATACACAGTGGAGATGTGCGTACGCATGCCCGACCGCTCACCAGGGACAGATACTCAACAGTGATATGGTTTTTCATGAACGGTTAAGGACAAATCGGGCCTCAGATGAATGGGATTCGGAGAGTATGTGTGTTTCTAAAGATGTCTATACACCTCTCAAACTAAGAGTGACCCATAAACTCAATGAGGAGGTCAAACCCAAACAATTCACTGCAGATTTTGAAAGCATTTAAAAAAAATCTAAATGGCTCTTTGTAGGGTGCTGAGAGGCCCACAGCAGCAAACCAAGCCAAGGTCTGACCTTAACAAATACTTAACCACCCTTGATTTTTTTCAGTCATGGCGAAGAATTAAGTGACACAACACAAACAAGTTAAACAACAGCAATGGTATCTCAAAAATTCAACACAAAGTCCCTTTAAAATGCAAGCTACCATAGGGCTGTCAAGAGCAAATGAGTGGGGAGAAAGGAGACATGACAGCACAAACCCCCACCAACTCTAAAACAAACACACACACACACACACACACACACAGGCACACACACACTACTACCGCAGAAAATTAGAGCAGTCGTGTCTCCCCTGCTTTGGATTCCTCTGGCTACAGCTGTGGAAAAGTTCAGCGGGGATGGGGAGCAGA